GCAACTTCTGTTCTTTTGCGTAAGTGGTAATTAAATCTATAACCTTTTGAAAGTTTATAAACTTACAAGAGAAGAATGGTTGATCAAAGTGGCCTTTGGAGATGATGTACATATAGTACCATCTTAGAGGGCATAAAAAGCTGATTCCAAATCTCTCTTCCTTATCTGTGGAGCATTCATGTGCGAGGAGTTATGGCTGTTTGCTAGAGCAAAAAATTTTGATTTTCCAGGATAAAATCAGTTGCTGAAGTTTTCCTACTGCTCGAATGAGGCAGTGGAGTGTGGCTGCACTTTATCTTGTAAGGGAAGCATGTTTAGTAGAAGTGACTCTCTAAAGGAGATGAATTCCCTATTAAGGCGCACAAAACGCTGATTCCAAAACTGCCTTCCTTATCTGCATTACGTTTATCTACGAAGCGTTATGAGCGTTTTCTGGAGCCAAAAAAATGCGCATTTTGGACAAAATGAGCTGTAAAAATCTTACTGGCCCTCAAATAATGCAACTAAGTGTGATAAAACTTCTATTTTAGGGTGTTTTCGAAATAGAGTGCGATGAATATCATTGCTCCATTTGAGCTAAAAAATTATTACGCTATTTCTCTCCCACTTGCACATTCAAGTTTTTGCTCCAATAAGCGCTCATAACTTCTCGTTCATAAATGTTCTGCAGATGAGTTTGGAATATCAGCATTTTATGGCCTTCAGTATGGCACACATCTCATTTAGAAAGGCCACTTCGACTAAACATGCATTCCTTGTAGGAGTATTAATTGCATAAAGTGCTCTGATAATTCTCATTGCTCCATTCGAGCGCTAGAGAAAAGGCTGCGACTATTTTTATCTTACTTCAACCTTTAATTTTTTGCTCCAATAAGCAGTCATAACTCCTCGTCCAATGATGCTCTGCAGATGAGAAATACAGACTTGGAATCAGCTTATGTAGTCTACAGCGGTGCACGTCCCTTTCTAAGCCACTTTGACTGACCATCTTTCCCTATTTAGTCGACTGAACTATAGACCCCTAACAATTACACGAGCAAATTCTGCCATTCATCATGACTGCGTATACTATTACCAATTAACTTTAATTACACCAGTGATTATAACTGGATAAGTCTTTTCGTTCAAACCTGTATGGCTAGAGCCATATTTCCCATTAAATTATCCACTATCTCTTAACACAAGGGCAGTGAGAATCTGCCTGCATCTTGGGAAACTTTCCAAGTAGGAAGCTCGGTAACCTTCGTTTCAGATAAATTTGCAGTAGGCCTCAATCTATTCAGCTAGAAGAAACTATTATGCATGATCGTTCCAAAAAGCGTTGTTTAGAATGTACTCCACAGGAGCCACCTATATCGCAGCTCTACGCACTTGATCAGAGGCATACAGAATTGGTTCAGCGCCATATCAATATGGTATGTTCAATTCACGCAATTTAGAACAGTCATACTTACTTTAAATAGTGAACGCATCTATTCGTTTCGTTCACACTCATTTCTACAGCAGGATGATTATGAGTTTTCGAATACAGCTTATTAGCGATTGATTAGAAAACAATTATATTGCTGATGGGGAAGGTGCCACGCGAAATTTGCAACAAACCACGAACCCCAGCCAATACAAACTCGTATTAATTGTCCGCGCGGGTGGATATTACTAGCGACAGATACTCATCCATGCAGGGTATCATATCCCGCTCTCTATGGTTGATAATAGCTCACAGATATCATCACCTAACCAAGAAAATGACATTCCTTTTTTAAAATGTTGTTTAGAATTATACCAGCTGAGAGGTTCCGGGCAGAAGAACCTTGAAAAACCGTTGGTCTTTGCGAAGGAGCGTAGCCACATTATACACGCGGCAGAAGAATAACAATCGGTATCGGAATGACTATTGCACTTCATACAATTTGTAGCTGTTCAGAATCATCAAAAAAAACTTCAAACAAAACGCCTTTTGATTTAAAGCTGCGACAATTTGCATCAGAATTGTTTTCTGTTATTGTTACACGCTCTGAGATATCTGCTAGTGCTGAACCCAACGCAGCTCACAAAAAGGAGCGTGAACTTTTGGATTCGGATACTTTAAAAACGCTTGCAAATAGCAGAATTTGTGAAAGTCTCAGTACTGCTGAATTTGGGAAAATGTATTCTGCTTTGCTTTTAATTTTCGACTTTGAAACTAAAAATAGCCCATCATTCTTTTTCATTGTTTTGTAGCTCACAAAAAGGAGCGTTTTTAGAAACTTTTGAATTCGGATACTTCAAGCGAAGCATTAGTTAGCCCAAAGTTCATTGAGCTTTTTGAATGTGTTGTTCAAAAAAAACCCCCCTGAGAAACTGTGTGTGCTCATCTCCGAGTTCTAAATCGGCCCCAGAGTTATCACACATTTGAGACCTAGGACTGAGCTTTTGCTGTCCTTAAATCTTGTGATGAAGTCAGCGCATAACATGTATTAAATGCGAATGCAAGTGGTCAGAAAAGAAAGTGATGCTGGTCAAATAAGTCCTTCCATTATTCTTAGCTCTAAAGGTTCAACATTAGTTGTGCAAAAAACAAAAGGAACTTCAGCGCCGATATATCCGCAAAGCTTTGCGGAAGACAGCCGCTGAGCTCTGAGTCTCAAAGTTAACTTGACATGCGTTTAAAAACTTTTCAGGCACAAAGGCTTTTCCATTGCATAAATAACATAATCTTTTGAGAAAGCCCAATGTACAAAGCCTCAATGCAAGCTGGTTGAAGTCCTATAGCCTCGGAAGAGCAAACTCTATGGCACACTGAAGCCAAAAACATTTCGAGCTATCCGGGAATAGTGATTTTTTCTTCTTAAATTCACTGGATTAAGCACGTACAGTCGCGTAAAAGTTCTGCGTAATATAGTGTAATTGCATCCGAGAGAATAACGTAAAATTTGAGCGTACAAATTGCTATGTCCGGTTCATCGCATAAAGACTGCGGATGTGCCGGCGTCTCTTTGATAAAATGCGCCTTTTCATTTCTCTTACCACCTGCTGTCTCTCCCATGCACGAGATATCTTGGTCGGACGTGACGGCGCCCAATCCTTGCGTATTATGAATCGCCGACATGCCTGACGCCGACCACTTGAAGGCAGTGTCCCGGCAGATTTTGCATCTCCATCTTTTTGCACGTTTTGAGCCTTCTCGACCCGCAGATCCCGAATTTGAGCTTTGAAACGGGTGAAAAGACCATTTTCGTGGCGTTTACCCAATTTTCAAAAAACATTTCAGACGAGATTTTTAGTGAAAAGTTGAGAGGCTCTGGCACGAAGACCCTGCTGCCTGTAATTTTTGCTTTGGATAGCATGCACAATGCGGGAGAGCGGTGATGAGGTCTCGCGCCGAACGGCAAGCGAAGTCGTCCAAGCGCGCCGGTTCAAGGGCTATTTTCTCCACCCAGAGGGAACATCAACCAGCCGGACTGCGCCTGAAGGTCAGTGGGATGGCCAGGAACCCCATCATAGCACTATCCCCCAAAGCGCAAATCTGCCGGGACACTGCCTTCAAGCGCGTGCAAAATGCCTGCATTAGTGGCTATGTATGTTTACACTCAAATTTTAAACGCATCTCGGTACAGCGAACACATATACTGAGCGATCTACTCGACTGAAGCAGCTATCCTAGACTTTGTTACTGTAACTCCATAAATAATTTTGACGCGAAAAGTAGCACCCAAAAAGGAGCTTGGCTGAAGTTGTCAGATTTTTAATCAATGCAGGTTTTTTTCCTGGAAGACACCGATTTTCATTCTTGTGCTGCGTACAGAGTTTGCGGCAAATCTCTTTCATATAGCACCAACAATTTTCTAAGTGTCTCAAAAAAGTTCCGAAACTGTGAAAATGAACAGTGATCACACATTATCAACGTCACAGCTCTGTTGAATTGGGTGATTGTGACCTCACTCATGCCCGCATGGTCCGCGCGCACGTTGGCAATTCTCTGCAGCAATTGAGGGCTGAGGCATGAAAAAATATCTTTTTGAGGACAACTTCATAAGCGGCGCAAGGCTCGAGCGGCGGTCTCGATGACATGAGCTGCCATAGCTGTGGTGCTCCTGTTGAGACAACCTATAGCATGCTCCAGCGACACACCATGTCACGTTTTATCGCAGCGTGACTTGGAAGAGCAACCAATGCCTGAAACAAGCCTTGCATGTGCTAAACCTTCGGAGCTTTTTTTCTGCAATTTGTTGGTTCGCTTACCAATAAAAAAGGACAACACTTTATTATTATCCTCAGTGCGCAGTCCTACCTCCCTGACAGCGAATCATAAGAATGGCCATCGGCATCTCATTGCATTGAATCCTCTACTTCTCAGCGCAGCTATTTAGAAGAACTAGATCGACTACTTGTAGGTGCATGATGTATGCAACAATCGAGCGGGTACAAGTGTTTCGGAATCCATTTCGTACATCGCGGCGTTCAGTATCTCCACGTTTTCTGGCAGTCATCACGCTGATCGTCGTGGGTGCATTCGCAGTGACAGCGCAACAGTTTTTGCCATCTACACGAACCATTCCGCCTAGTATCGGTAGATCTCTCTTGGTGAGTGCACTTTTTTGAGTATTGTTTCGCGAAAGTGCTCATCATCTAACGATTTCTGCAAAACGGCGCGAGTGGATTTGGTGAACTAGCTCAGGAGCCGCCATCGCCGAGCTTGACTGCTAAAGATCTCAAATCTAATGTACATCAACTCGCACAATAGCACCTTTGTTGACATTATTATTCGAGCAGCCGTCAGATGCTTGAAAGGGCCCAAAAGGCTCAATTCCTTCAAATCTCACGCTAGCGTGCTTAGGCTAGAGCGGGAATGTCCAAGGAAAGATGAGAGATGTGTGAAGAAAGATCAAAGAAAGTTGAGCATGTTCGACCAATTCTGGGCGCTGAAATTGGCTAAGCAAAACATAAAATTTTTAATTTAGAAGAGAGTAATTAAGTGGGCAGTCTTATTCTGTCTTTTCATTCAGGCCAAACTGTAAGATATGTACAAAACGTTGCAGGTTCTACACGCTGTTAGTGTTGTGCTTGTTCCACTCATAGTACTCAGCTTGCTGAACACCTTGCTTGTTCTTGCTCTCAAGAAGAATACGATGCCAATGCATATGCTGAAGGATTCACAAGCGCAGCAATCACTTCTCGTGGCAAGGAATAAAACCGAAAGAAAAGTAACAATTGCCAAGTAGAGTGCTTATATGCGTCCTCCTTACGAACCTGCATTTCAGGTCACAATTATGGTGACAGTGATTATAACTAGCTTCATCATATGCAATGCTCCAGGAGCGATCCTCTTCATAACCAGAAAGTTCAACGAGGTAGCTAGTACGCATTCTGATAAAAATTCACACCAAAGTGACAATACGATCTAGAGTTCTTTGATCTGTACAGAGATAAGTAGCATATTTTAGTTTTTGCAGAATCTCACGAACGCCATGATTGCCAGCATATCGAATTCTCTGGTTATCACTGGAAAGGTGGGTAATAGCTTGTACCTATGGTACGTACCATGCTTAATTCACTTCGTCCGCTTAATAGACTCTATCCACTTTGTAGTCAAATCATTCAATTGACCAATAGTTAAGCGGATGTTCACTTGATTCACTATTGGTCAGTTCACTGATTTCACCAATAGCGAACTGGATCAAGCGGATCAAGTGGATCTATGGCATGTGCCTGTATTCAAAAAACCACAGTATTATTTTACACTATCAGATGCCAGTCAATGTATATATGCAGATTTCTTACAAGATCTACTGCGCACAGCTTAATTAATTCCAGGTATTGAACTTCGTGCTTTTCTGCATGTCTTCGGATCATTTTCGAGCTCTTCTACGTATGCAGTTGGAGTCACTTTTTGAGTGCTCCAGCATTACTCGACGCAGCAGTTGTCGTTCATCTACGAAAACCTTCAGCATTCCTCTGCACGATTTGTGAACGGTTTCATCCCAAAAACTTGAAAGTCTATTTGACCTGACTTTGCTTTCTGCTGTACAAATTATATACGTTAGAAATGTAGAATCTGTCTTCATGCTTTATGCTCTTACTGGTGATTTACGATCTATGTACATATCCGATGGTCATTGACTCATGATAATCAACGAAGGGTCTCAAAATTCTAGTAAAGCGGATTGACTTATGAAGAGGCTGTGGAATTCGATGTATAGTTCACGATGCTAACATAATAAAGCTTTGATATGGAGCTGCAAATTTACACAAGTTCGCTCGGATCACTGCAACTCATTGATAACGAGCATTGAACTTTTTTTGCTGGAACAAATGCGTAAGTGAAATTATAGGACTTGATAATCAAGTTGACACTACATTGTCAATGTAATGATAACTTGACTGTCATCAAATTGTTAGAATTCAAATTTGAAACTGTGCGTCATACCCCCCTCGCCATTACCATTCCTCTTTCTCCGTTCTTACAAGGGAAGCCATCTTACAAGGGAACAGTGTCGAGTCGAAGTGGCCTTTCCAGACGAGACCCATACTGCTTTGAAGAGTATTAAGCGATGATTCCAAATCTGCCTTTCAAATCTGCCAAGCGCCTCTGGACGCCGAGTTATGACCGTTCTTTAGAACGAAAAATGAATGCAGAATTTAGGTAAAATTGATTGTTACAATCTTTTTAGCGCTCAGATAAAGCAATGTTAAGTATTAGCATAATGAATAAAATGTATCAATTGCATAAACAGCTCGATGCATGACACTGGACCATTTGAGCAAATTTGGGCTATTTTGCTTCAGTTTTGCGTTCAACTTTTTGCCCTGAAAAACGAGCATAACTCGGCGTCCAGAGGCGCTTGGCAGATTTGAAAGGCAGATTTGGAATCATCGTTTAATGCTCTTTGAAGCGGTATGGGTCCCATCTGGAAAGGCCACTTCGACTCGACACGGTCCCCTTGTTAGATAGAGTGGCCTTTTCACATGACACTCATATCACTTTATAGCATTGAACGTCAATTCCAAAACTGTCATTTCAACAACTCTCCAAAAGAAGTCATGAGGGTTTGAAAGTCTTTTTGCCAAAAAAATTTTTGGCAAGCCTCAAATGGCATAAAATCAGCAAAAGCTTTACAAAAACATCTACGCGCGGATTTCCTGTGTTCCTTCCTTTTAGTCAACATATTAATACAAATCTGATTACTTGCTTATAGCCGTTCGTCTCCTCCAAATCTGGAGCACGTCACGGTGACGTCACAAGCAGGCGTCCCCTCTCCGGGACGCGCAAATCTCTGCTCCGGAGATGCGCCAGATTTGGGAGAGCCCCAGAGCACCAAAATGGGTGAAATGGCAGGGCCCCGGAGCGCTCCAGAGCGCGAAGTGGCAGACTCGCGCCATTTGCCCGCCGGAGGTATCCCTTTAACTGTCTGAGTATGTTCAAAAGCCGCGGTGGTCTAGCGCTTTCCTCGTTAGCACTGTGAATCGCATCCTCCTTCCCTAGGTGAGCTTTCTGACAAGGGAATGGTCAGAAGTCGAAGTGGCCAATCCATACAAGCTGCATACCATTAGATGCAGCATAAAACGCTGACTGTAAATCCGTCTTCCATATCTGCAGAGCGCTTTTGTGGACGAAATTATAAGCCGTTAAAGCCATTATTTTGCTGAGAAATTGTACGTGTAAAGTGCAGACTTGGCCGTAAAAAGCCATTCTCGGCTCAGTGTTGGATCAAAACATGCAACTAGTCTACTTTATACGACCCGTACTTAGAGATGAGCTGAAAGAGCAATAATGTGCTTGTTTTGGCAATTTTTGTACATGATTTTTTCGCATTAAAGCTGCTCATAACTTCGCCCACAAAGGCGCTCTGCAGATATGGAAGACAGATTTGAAATTAGCATTTTATGGTGCATTGAACGGTTTGCAGCTTGTATAGATTGGCCACTTCGATTTCTGACCATTCCCTTGTGAGTATTTCGTTGATTAATGTTTCGAGTTGGCACATGTACAGAAATGTTGGAAGTATGTCTTAATGTGATGCTTAGTAGTGCACAAAGTAGTCTTAATCTAAAACAGTAACGAATTTGACCTCCTCAATGAAACATGTCGTGGTACAATACCCGTTATTACATCGCAATTTTACAAGATGTCAACTCCGCTATAACGCCAGAAGGCTGCTATCAAATGTTAAACTCGTACAACCTATAATGACCAAATCCTATGACTTTTGGCTCTAGTAATTTGACCCATTGACGACGACGCCTAATTTTGCATGGCGGCACTTTGGGACGACGCGATTCTGTACAACATTTTCGGCGTGGGAAAGTTTTGTGATCATTCACGAAATGTAAAGTTGTTTTGTAACAACTACAGTCACCTCTTTGGACGAAAAGGTCTTCAAGTTCCAAGAGTGCAAAAAACTGGAAGAAATACTGAACTGTGGAAAAAATGTTAGATTTGGAAAGTATATGAGGTTGCAAGGGGTGCGGGCCACCGGTGGTCCACATCGTCCCTAGCGGCAAAACTGCGTGGGCCACCGGTGGTACACATCGTCGTCAATGGGTTAACTTGTGATGTAAGCTAGTATCTTTTTGATATACCAAGAGTGCAGCGGAGAATGTAAACTACTGCTGGAGCTCCTTGCAATTCAATGTCAATTTGACCTACATTTAGTACATCAGTTCACAATTGAAATAAAATCGAAGAAACCACGAAAAAAGGAGGAAAGTTTTCTATAATCTTATAATCACTCATTCAGTAGCATATAGTCGTTATTTGCCACGCACACAGAGATTGATTGACATGGAAGACACAGAGTAATTCGGTTGAATTCCCACGTTAAAGCGTATTCCCAAACGACCTTTTCTGCTCGACGTGTTTGAGTCTGGGTTACAAGAGCCAGCTTATTCGCTTTGCTTCTGCGAGCCTCGAGAATGCTTGGCTTTATTTCTCCTCCCGAGGTTGGGCCCGTATAGGCCTAACAAGAGAAGGCAATCCGATGGTGCCTCTAACACAGTGTGGTGCCGCTGTTAGGAGCTACTTTATGCCTAAACGAATAGGAAGTTACATTGTTATGGACCATATGCTAGGTGGTTATCGGCAACAGGCAGAGCGAACTTGAACATGAAAGACGAATAAAATCCACTTTGATCAAAAACCAGTGGCGTACCCAGGATTTCCGCTCGGGGTAATTTCGCGACCCATTCTCGGGAGGGGGGCCTCGGTACGCCACTGATCGAAGCCGATATGTACTAAGAGGATTTTATGTTGGCTGTGAACTTGCAACAATCTCAACCAAATAGTTTATAGCAAAGCTAACAGCACGAAAGAACTCATACCAAACTTAAGTTATAGAGCCAAAAGTAAAGGTTTTTTGCCCTGTGTAAGTTACTAGATGGGTCCCCGGTGCTGCTAGGGAGACGGGATCTAATGCTCGTTGGAAGGTTTCGCCTAGATCCAAAAATGATCCCATCCCTTTTCCATATCTAAACGAAGCGCTTCTGCGATATATCTTGCTGATCCAAAGCGACGGAGGAACTCGGTGAATCGTCGCGAAAAGTAGCCTATCTTTTGTGACGTGCCTCATTTGTACGGGAGCGTCCTCATTAGTCCACGCAAAGGAGTCCGTAAGCTACATTCCAGTGGCGTACCCAGAATTTCCGCTCGGGGGAGGGGGGGGGGAGGGCGACAAAAATTTTCTTCGGATGAAGGTGCGTGGCGTCAGCCTCGGAAATTTTTTGGGATGCTTTCCAGAATTATTGCGGCCCCCCGACCCAAAATTTTAGAAGAAAGGCGTGGCGGCAGCCACGCCCCCGAAAAATTTTTTTAAGGCTAATTTGGATTTTTAAAAATTTTTACAAATTATTTCAATTTCTTACAATAAAAACAAGTTGTTTGCACTTTTCATAACACATTTGAGTAACTTTTAGAAAATTCGCGACACATTCTTGGAGGGGGGGGGGCGTTCCCCTTCGGTACTACGCCACTGCTACCAACTAAGAAATTTACACTTTGAGTTTTGTTTATGTATATGAGTTATTAGATCTTATTTAAGTATACTTATACTATACTTATACTTATACTCATATATGTCGGAAACCAACTTTTGTAACTTATGCACAACTTTTCTTTTTCGAGTGTGGTTCATTTGAACTTTGACACTAGATTATGTTACTAGATTATGATCGAAACTACAAATCAGCCATTTTTGTTTCAAATCCTGTTGCATGTGATTACGGTAGATATGGAAGGTGATAATTATGAAGGGCAGATTTACAGACCGTCACATTCGATTGAAATTCGATTTAGGAATTATTGGCATGCTTATCAGGAAGATGGTACTAATTTCGCGTGATGGTGAGATTTTCATGAGAAAACGGATTCCACGAGAATAGCAAGTGATTATAATCCTCATGGCAGGTAGAATTATTCCACTACGCAAATTTCATTCTTTCTTTCAAGGTTGCGTTCTTCAGTTGTTGACTTATGTTCGCGTCAACGTTAAAGGCTTTTTTGAAGACGCTAATTCTCACTTCATTTTTGGAGTTGCAATTCTTCTACACTGACTCAGGTTGCCATGCATTTTTAGCAACACTTTGCTCAAAGTTTCGACTGTGTGATTGGTTCCAGTTGTGCGCAATCTGCTTTTGCGGTGAACTCATGAAGCGTCAACTTTTATGAGTAGCAAAAACTGCCAATTTTTCAGTATTTGCAGCGAAAATTGCCCGCATCATTGTCTACAAAATGCCGGGAACTGATTGAGCTAAATTCAAAAGGAGAACAGTTCGGGAGATTGCATAACCAAATGAATGACAACGCTTTTACCATCTGGACACGAAGCTAAGCAACATGTTTCGAGTGCGTCGTGAATGTGGTTGGGTTATTCTGACAAAAAGAAAAAAACTTTTGACCTTTTCTTTTGACTTTAGAGCTCCAGCCAAGATTTTCTTTTGAAGTCCAGACGAATCAAGAACATTTGACTGTGTTTACCTTTGGGTGTCTAAAGATTCAAGTTTAAATTAACATTTATTTGAGATCATGCAACTGATATAAACATTTTTCGCAGTCGGACCTGAAATTAGAAGTGAATAAACAGTGTATTCATATACATACTTGGTACATATAGTACGCACTCTCAAACTTAAAGCTGAATGTCTGCTTGTGTGTACGTCTGTAAGTGTGCGGGTAAAAGGCTACTGCATGACGAAGGCGCAGAAGCGGCATCAGTTGAGCGGGCGCGAGCGCGGCGCCCGTATCTTCACCATTATAAAAGCTGCGTCTCATGCGCTTTGCGGCTAATAAAGCCGCGTTTGCTCCCAAAGGTATTGCGCCTTCGTCATGCACTAGCCTTTACGTATGTTTCGAATTAATTCATTTCTGAACAAGACTGAACTTTGCACACACACACTCATGGAGCGGTTGTCAAAGACTACTTTGTGTTATCGATCGATTATCGCTTTTTGGCAAAATTTGAGTTTAGGAAGATGGCACAGGGGGTAAGTGAGCTGCCGATTACGAATATAATTTCTCTTTTCAAAACTGTTGATTGCCTTTATCACTCCTATAATTTTTCTAGAACTGAGCTGGGATTCTGGGAGTTGCTACACAGTGGGGCGCGATGAGTACGTTTACAATGTTAGACTTTAAACCTATCGATTACTTTCACGGACTCATCGGATTCGGAATTTTTGCAAACCTTGTGCCACGAGGCAAGAAGGCGTAACTCATCTTACCTCGTGGTATGGTGCTCAAAGGCATCACATTTTGAATATCCGGGAATAATATCCACGAAAGTCCCCGCGAAATGGGCTTTTCGTGCGAATAAAATGGACTTAGTCTATGCGGTGCGCTAAGGCAGGGTTCATACTGAGCCGCACAAAGCGGCACAGTTCGAGCACAGTTCGAGCGCTGTGTTGGAACTGTGCCGCTTTGTGCGGCTCAGTATGAACCCTGCCAAAGATATCGCATTCGCTAATCCATTCATTTCATACAAAACTTCTTCAGAAACCTTTCTCCAATTTGCCTCAACCTGTTTACTCACTCTTGCAAACTCATTTCCACCAAGTGGTCGATATTTGACTAGGCTGTCCTAATATTACAATGCAGTCACGTGGATTTTCTATTCGTTCCCACTTCGTTACACCTCACAAAATGTCATTTATTATCGATGACCATGCATATAAATTACCTCCAAGATTAAAATTCGTATAATATCCGGCCTTCGCTCCTCGAGACTTATATGGATCGGCATTAAATAAATCAATTCCGTATGTAAAGCTTTCTGTGGAAAGCAAACTTTGGCTAGACTTGCACTGCAATCTGTGAATCAAAATGCTTATCTTATAGGAAACTGTTGTATGCATGCATTTTTACCGCCTACGCCCGCTCAAGCTCAAGCCGTCGCTCCTGTCCGTAAGAAGAAGCAACGCCGACCCCAGCCGCAACGTACCCGACGCCCATCTGATAGCAAGGATCCGCCTGGACGTTTCCGCCGTGATGACGCGTGCTATATCTGTGGAAATAAAGGACACTGGGCCAACAACTGCCCGTCAAGGAACAGACCAGTCCGCCGTTCCATGAAGAAAGTTGTGAAGTTGAACGTGCTGAACTCCCACCGTCGCTACGTGAATATCAAGCTGAATAACCTGAACTTGAAGATGCAACTAGACACCGGTGCTGACGTATCGACAATCAACCGCAGGACGTGGATGGAATTAGGCTCACCAACCCTGAAGGCCGCTCCTGCCGAATTGAGAGCTGCAAATGGATCGCTGATCGAAGTGTATGGAGTTCATGAAATGCCGTTCACATGCAATGGATTTGATGGTGAGGGATTATTTTACATTACAAAAGACCTGTGTTTGCTAGGAATGGATGTGCTTCAACAGCTGCCGCCCTTCCGAGATGCTTTGTCTGCTATTTGCTGTGTCGTGGATGCCTCTTCGGTGCTGGACTACCGCCTTATGGCTGAGTTTCCAGAAGTTTTCAAAGATGAGTTAGGACATGTCAACAAGTTCAAAGCTCACCTCGTACTAAAGAAGGATGCCACGCCCGTCTTCGTGCCCAAACGAAAGGTTCCGTTTGCCGTAGAACCGCTCGTCAACGCAGAATTGGACCGCCTTGTCGCTATTGGAGTATTGTCACCTGTCGATTACTCACAGTGGGCTGCTCCTATCGTACCCGTCAAGAAGAAGAATGGAACAGTGCGCATCTGTGCCGACTATTCCACCGGATTAAATGACGCATTGGAGCTGAATCGACACCCCCTACCAACCGCTGAAGACGTTTTTACCAAACTAAATGGAGGAACAGTCTTCACCAATATCGACCTGCGTGACGCTTATCTGCAAGTAGAAATGGACGACGAAAGCAAAGAGTTGCTGACCATTAAAACATCAAGAGGACTTTTCCGCTACAACCGCCTCCCGTTTGGTGTGAAAAGTGCTCCCGGAATCTTTCAATCGCTGATGAGCAACATCACTGCCGACATAAATGGAGCCGTTGCCTATCTGGACGATGTTGTGGTCACAGGAAGGACGCATGAAGAGCATGATGCGAACGTATTCAAGCTGTTCCAACGTCTTCAAGAGTATGGAATGCGTGTTCGCCGTGAAAAGTGCCATTTTGGTAAGTCCAGTATAGTATTTCTCGGATTCATTGTCGATGCCGAAGGAAGACGCCCCGATCCCGAAAGGATTTCTGCCATCGCCCATATGCCGCCACCCCAAGATATAAAGCAGCTCGAATCTTATCTTGGGATGATTTCATTCTATTCGTCTTTCGTGCCAAGAATGCGTTCACTTCGCGGACCACTGGACGCTTTGAAGAAGAAAGACACACCGTTTGTCTGGAGTAAGGAGTGCCAGGAAGCCTTCGCCCGCCTTCGCGATGTCCTGACCTCGGATCTTCTACTGTGCCACTACGACCCTAAGAAGCCGATCATTGTTGCCGCTGACGCAAGCAATTATGGAATCGGAGCCGTGATTTCTCACCGCTATCCGGATGGATCGGAGAAGGTCGTCTCTCACGCAAGCCGTGCCTTGACTGCCGCAGAGAAGAACTACTCACAGATTGAGAAAGAGGGATTGGCCCTAGTTTTTGCCGTCAAGAAATTTCACCGCTACCTTTATGGAAGAAGATTTACCTTGTTAACGGACCATCGCCCTCTACTCACCATCTTCGGGAGCAAGAAAGGAATACCGGCCTATACTGCTAATCGTCTTCAACGGTGGTCATTGACGCTACTGGCCTATGATTTCGACATCAGGTACTGCTCTACGACATCGTTTGGACAGGCCGATGCTCTCTCCCGATTGCTTTCCTGCCGGAGTGCGCCGGATGAAGACGTCATCATGGCTACCATAGAAGCTGATGTCTCCGCCACTTACGAGGAAACACTCGACCAGTTGCCAGTTACCGTGGAAGATGTACGTTCTGCCATGAAAAAAGATGTAGTGTTGATGGAGCTGTTCAACTGCCTACAAACAGGACGTTGGCCAAATGCACTTCCCGGAACGCCGTTGTTCAATTACAGAAGCTTGCAAAGGGAACTGTCTGTTCACAACGGATGCATATTCTTCGGATCCAGGATCGTCGTTCCCGTTCTGCTAAGGAGGAAGGTTCTTCGCATGCTACACGACGGTCACCCTGGACAAACCCGGATGAAGCTGCTTGCTCGCAACTATGTCTACTGGCCTAGTGTAGAAGAGGACGTTAAGAAGACTGTGGAATGTTGCCAGAATTGCCAAGTTGCTGCCAAGAATCCCATAAAAGCTGAACTAACGCCATGGCCGATTGCCAATCGCCCGATGGAACGCCTGCATATCGACTTCGCTGGACCACTTTATGGTCGCATGTATCTCATCATCGTGGACGCTTACTCCCGTTGGCCCGAAATCGTGGAAATGAAGTCGACAACATCATCAGCCACCACACGGGAACTACTAAACTTTTTCAGCATGTTTGGATTCCCAGAAACGCTTGTTTCAGACAACGGCACTCAATTCTCTTCCCAGTATTTCGAAGAATTCTGCAGGAAGTACAGTATCAAGCATATTAGGACGCCACCGTTCCACCCACAATCGAATGGACTTGCTGAACGCTTCGTTGGAACTTTTAAGAGAGGAATTATGAAACTAAAGGGAGAAGGAAACCTTTCTGAAGCCTTGTCGAAGCTATTACTCTGCTATCGGTGTACGCCCTGCCCGTCTTCGCCAGATAATCGTTCCCCGGCCGAGATGTTTCTTGGACGAACGATTAATACTCCGCTCACACGTTTGGTCACTGACGCTCAGACTGTTAAACCAAGCTACTCCCCCGGAACGAATCCTAAGATGGAAGCTCAATACAACCGCAGACACGGAGCCAAGAAGAAACACTTCGATGTCCATGATGCTGTTTACACTCGCGACTACCGCAATCCAGCAAAGCCTACTTGGACCCCAGGAATTGTACAATCAAGGATTGGACGCTCGCTCTACAACGTAGAAGTTGAAGGATTCATATGGAAACGCCATGCCAACCAGCTACGTCCTCGAATAGTCCCCGATGCTACCAGCACGCTATTGGGAGAGTTCAGTCTTTTGGATTTTGAGCTCCCCAGACAGTCGACTCCCGCCGTGTTCGTTGATGTTCCTGTCGCCGACGCCAGTCACACGGATATTGCGCTGCCAAATCCTGATACTGCTGCGGCCAATGCCGAACCCAGGGACGCTGATGAATCCGTCAGTCGAAGGTCTCCTCCTCCTGTTCGTCGCCGCTCGCAAAGGATTCGTCAACCACCACGCCGCCTCAAGATCGACCCATCGAAGAAACGGTACAGTGATTAACTTAAGGAGGGAGATGTTGTAGAGTGATATTAGGCTGGTAGTAAATGAACCTCTGTTGTATATATCTCTTGTGTTGTTTACAACAATCCTTAGAGGACTATATAAGAGCTTCCTTTTGCGGTAATATTCACTCTCCATTCTTCATTCTTCATTCTTCCATTTCTCCATTCCTGGTCTGTCATTGTACCAGTCGCCGATAAAGCACTGCTGTTATTCGTGTCCCGACTCCACAGAAAGATAGAAGACCACAACAGAAACCTTGTACTACAATACAACCCAAAGGGTTTTTTAAGTCGGAAAAACACGAATCTGCAAAAGATGACTTCGCAAATCTTCTAATTTAGCTCTTCCTTGTCTCTCACACTAATGTTTATATCTCTAAGTAGTTGAATGTGTGGACTATTGCTGGTAGGCAGAATTTTTCTTGCTAGCTGCTAGCTAGCACCTTTCAGCAATTATTGCGACCAAACTCAAATGCGTATAAAATACCGTCTTTGCGGTTCGGTTCTGCGAAATTACTCAAAAGATAGCTTCTAAGTAATTATATTGACACGCAAATCTTTTTTATTTTCAAATACAAATCATGGATTTAGTTTTGGTTGATGGTTTGAAGAGTTAAGAAACTTTATATCAGTGTTCCACCTGCTATTGTGGCTAAAAGTGGCGCACGATTTACAAAAAAGCGATAACTGTTCTTCGGACTTGGAGACATGAATATATAGGTAACTGAGGATATCCAGAACCTGCTTTTTTGTAGCAAGAAAGGGCAGTCGCTTTGGTTACTTTACAGAATAAAACGGTTTTTTTCTTTTTCATCTAGTCTCAAGCTAGTCACACTTTACTTATGAGTAGATAGCGTTTTCACCTACTTGACAGGCAGTGATTTATACAATAGCGGTCGTTTTAAGACGCATGATTACCAACTAAAAACTCAGGGTTCTACAGGCAAAACTCGCAACCTTGTTGCATGTCAAATTGCAGAAAAATGCCCCGTTTCCGTCGAATGTCTTGCGTTAGACTACTTGTCAATTTGTCACTGCTAGTGGGGAAAGCCTACAAATTATTAGTCGTATGCACATTTATCCAAAGTATATCTTGCTAAACATCGAGCCGGGGCTGGAAGTAGTACCAGATGAGTAAGCTTGCTAGAGCGAAATTGCTATAGGGCTGGTAACCATAAAGGAGGGCAAGGACAGGGAAATATGGCGTAGAAGCGGGGCGGAATATTGAATTGTATTATGGTACTAGTTGGCAAACTAGGCTCTGCCCGGACTTGTTGATAATATTTTTGTAATCAGCATGCTCATTTATCCCCTGTGCCAGTTCCCAGCCTCCTAGCTGAAACTTTGCAAAAAACAATAAAATCGATAACGATTAATGTAGGGCTTACGACACCTTCCGCACCGATCTGTTTGTATGCCAATGGTCCGCATCGGTTCAGAAATGAAAGTTTTTATTTGGAAAATACGTTCAGACAGGCAAACACATAGACAATCAGACATTCAGCTTTATTTATAGAGATTGAACAGGGCCAAAGGGAAGACGGATATCCCAAGTGGTTCCTAATTGGTTTAATATACTTGTGGCCACAAATATTTCGCAAAGTAAGATAGAGCGAAGCATGGCTGGTGCTGGAAGATTTATGAAATTTACGAATTGTCTGCATAGCGCAGCATTTTTCTAGAGTTCATGCATTTTTCTTACAAGGCGCTGCTCAAAGATTTTCGCCTTTTCATACTAATGCCTTTAACTTCATGTTTGCTCCTCTGTTGCTTTGTACTCCATTTGTTATATTCAAATCTCGTCAGAAATGACAGCAAATCGTACTAACCTCTACAGGCTGCTTTTAGGAAAATATCACATTAAATTTATCGAGTTAGTTTTCGTTTCTTGAAACTGAAAAGGTGTTTTTGTGACAACCCTTGAAAACTGATAAGGAATTTGAGAATCAGTAAGAACCTTTTTTTAATCTCTAATGCTGCCTATTCATAATTGCTTTGGATGAAGACGCGATTATCTGAAAAAGTCACCATCGAGCATTCTCGAGTTTGTTGAAAGTAAAATTGCAAATTGTTGGAAAGGCATAGTCCGGGAATTCAATGAAATGTACCTTTTTAACTTCACTAAAATCCTGCGATGTTTCTGTTTTTCTCGATAAGTCACCTCTAGCCTTTTTTCGCATTGCCTTGAACGCTCGCTGTTTGGGTGTCAAAATGACTGTCTTCTCAGCGCTTTCTGTTTTAGGTTTACGACTCTGTAAATAGTGAGAATGAGTAAGTGCTAACATGTGTATCTTACAATATCAGATTCAGTTCGTTCGTTTCATATACTACTTTCTTTACTCCTAATTAGTTAGAAGACGGCATTGAGTATGATGGTAATGATTGCGCATTTGTTATTTTTTAAAGGCAACACAAGACTTTTCGAAAAGATTGGAAAACAAACTACCTGAATTGCCTCGTCTCTTGTCTCTGCCACAAGTCCCGCAAAGTGCTCAAAAAACTCAGCTACCTGAAACGAACCTGTTGACCAACATGCGCCAACAATTAAGTTCAATGATAGATATAGAAAAGTCGCGAAGTGTTTGTGAAGCGAGCTTTGAGAGACTGATGAAGACGTTATACATGCTGGTTAAAACCCGTATGCACGTAGATCCTCGCTGGGGAGGGAGGGGATCTGGGAGGGGAGGATACGTCATATCTCGCTACTCTAGGTATCTCTCTTCTTCCTTCTCTCTCCTCTAGGTGTCTTTCTTCTTCCTTCCCTATCTTCTATGAATTTTCTCGTATCCTAATACTTGCGCATAATTGATTAGGTTTTCACTATTTTGTGTAGTTTCCTGGGAATTCCCAGGGATCCCCTGAGGATTACCTCTCAACTCAAATGCCATTTATCTTTCTGAAAACTCAATGAAAACGCTGTGAAATTGTATTGTGGATATACTACGGCGGTGCTAAAGACGTTCATAGTAGAAATAAGAAAAATCTCAGGCTATCGAAATTTTCCCTAGCTATAGTATAGTAGCTAGTATATAGCTATAGTATCCCTAGCTCGCGAGCTAGAAATCATCGGAAAACTCACAATCTTCAGATTCCATTTCTCCTGTCGAAAATATGCTTAGCAGTGCTGTAGTCTCAGTACATTCTTACAGCGTTTTAATTAACTTCTCAGGAAGATATGACTTTGAAAATTCCCTGGTGATCTCCTGGGGATCACACGAAATGGCAAAAAACCATTCTTGTATGGAAGTAACTTGGCATCTTGGTATAAACAATTCCAATTACTTTGCTATGCCGTATAGAGGTTGTTAATGGTGATACAACTTTATTGCCTGACGTTTCGGCAGAATGCCGTCTTCAGAGGCTGAAAAGTTGTCACTTATAATGATATAATCTCTGAGCCTCCAAATATCTCCTCGTAGCTGTCATTCGATTTGTCTCAAGTGAAAATAGAGAGCTCAGGAGGAGCTGTGCACCCACTCGATGTGTGGCTTACCTCTGCAATTAAGTAATTGGAAGTTCATACCAAGAAAAACCATGCCCAGGTTTAAAGGGAGATAAGAGGACTGCAAGATAACTTGGCATCTATTATGCGCAGGTATAAGTGTATGAGAACCTTCATAAGCAAGATAGAGAAAGAAGAAGAAAGAGGCGTAGAGTAGCGAGATGTGACGCATCCCCTCTCAAATCCCATCCCCATTTCTTCCAGCGGGGATGTACGTGCATACGGGCCTAAAACTTTGCAGGCATTTACAACTATATTTTAATTCATTTTTGAAGAATGGAAGGTTTTGGATCAAGTGCAAATCACGATAATCTCTATATACAGGGTGTCCCAAAAAAAATGTTTAGGACGTTTGATCGTTAATATCTCTCTTCCCAAGAAGTCTTTTGCCTTGCTTCAGGTACCGTTTTGTAGAGCTGGCTTCAACTTAGATTTCGGTATAAAGTGAATCACCCACCTTTATTCATTACTGTAGGGTTACGGTGGAAGCTTCAAAGAGGGTTTTGAGCTATGAAAGGCCATATTTTGCCTTAGAAAGGAAACAAAACAGCCTGAAAACTTTTACACCAGGCTAATTAGAATTGCTGATTATAACTGTAAAGTTCCCAACTTATTATGATGCTTCATTGAAGAGTTATGCGAGGTAAGCAGTAGCGGCCATTTTTTCAATGTCCCTAAAAAGTGCGGTTACATGTTTAGAAAGCTTCGCAATCCTATGGATAGTTAAGTATTAAACTCAGCGTCCACAAAAGCCTATTACACAAGTTTTCACAATTTTTTGAAAAATTTTGAAACGGCAGCTTTTTCCACATTGACACCATATGTTTCAACTTTCTACCGTAATCCTACAGTAATGAAGAGAGATGGGTGATTCGTTCTTTAATGGAAATCTAAGTTGAAGCCAGCTCTACAAAACGGTACCTGAAGCAAGGCAAAAGACTTCTTGGGAAGAGAGATATTAACGATCAAACGTTCTAAACATTTTTTTGGAACACCCTGTATATAAAGAAAATCTGTGAGTTCGTGTGTTTGTGCACATTCCAGTAGTGCAGGGTGTGCAAGGTGTGCAGGGTGTACAGGGTGTGCAGGGCGTGCAGGGTATGCAGGTTGTGCAGGGTGTTCACGATGTGCAGGGTGTTCACGTGTGTAGGGTGTGCAGGTGGGCAGGTGGGCAGGATGTGCAGAGTGTGTAGGGTGTGCAGGATGGAGAGGGAGTTTAGACTAATAGACTGGCCCCAAACCGGAGTGAAACCCGGGATGCCTGCTCGTTCACGATATATTAGCGCCTTGTCAACCTAGTCGCATAGAAGGAGATTTCAAAGAAAAAACAGGAAAATTGACAAAATTAAGGCTGCTGAATATAGCCAACTTCCGTTCATCATCTGAACCTCCAAATCCTATGGATGCACTTTTAGGAGCAGGGTGTATTTCATAGTCGCCCTTCAGCACACTTCTAGACACTTAACGGAAAAAATTGGTTTGTTATAAAATTTGCAGATTGAACAATCACATGAAGCCCCTGTGGTGCGAAAGTTTGGGTAGTGGTGTGCAGAGTTCTTAAAGTATTGTAAACATTGCTCCGACATATGATATGCACGACATTCGAACTCAAAGAGTTGCGGAGCAAGTGCTCTAATAGAGGCGAAGCTGTTCTTTCCTAGGAAAGCTTGCAGATTGCCAATTTAGTAGTTTTCTATGGTCCCTATTTTCAGAAGTATAAGCAGCGGGGAAGGGGGGAGAATTTCTATCAGAATCGACCAGCCCAAACAAGCCAAAGGACTTCGCAATCACAGGACCCTATACCGTGATGCGTGCTTGCCTGAGAGAATCGTCATAAAGATTGCATTCTGAAACAGAATGAGGCGGCAGAGGAGTTTGCCTTAAAAACTCGAAAAATTTGCGGTTTATACACCACTTCAATTCCTACAAATCACTCCATGATGCAAAAAGCTGTTGTGGCTTACACTTAAATTGTGCTATAAAGTTCGCTTTTTTTATCGGTGAAAAACGACGGTCTAGCATAGTTTGCGGCCTAGAAGTGCACCCTAGCAGAAGTTTTGGAAAGGTGGAAATTGCATGTAGCAGGAAGTTATTTTTGCCAATTCCAACACTTCTCCTAGAACCTGCTGCCAGTGATCAGATGGCAAGCTATTCTGGCTTACTTCGAGGTTGTGATTACTACAAGATATTAATGTGAGCACTTGATATTGATCACGAACTTACTCAGTACTAAAATCAGGTTGATACAGAATTTTGTCCTTACAAGAGAAGGATACTTTGGAAGTGGCGTTTCCATACGAAATGTATACTGTCTTATGAAGCAATGAACGGTGTTCTCAAATCTGCTCACATACAGCGCTTTTGGAAGGGAAATTACGGTAATTTTTTGATGCAAAGGACGAGCTACTACAATGAAATTCTTCAGAGCGACATCGTTGAACTCAAATGGGGCTACGATTACTTCTAGCGCGCTCTATGTAATAAATATCTTCAGTTTAACAAATCATGCCAATCATTACTCGTTTCAAGCTCCGGAAAGACCTCAACATCTGTCCTTCCTTAGCCAGATCCTCGAATTTTTACATTGGAAAATTCTCATAACTCCCTCCCAGGAACGCTTTGCAGACTTTGTAGAAAGCAGATTTAGAATCATCGTTCCATGCCTTATGAGACTACTATTCATGTGGAAACGCCACTTCGGCCAGCTACCGAAGCGATATATGCACAGATCAGAGATACCCCAAATGGTCGCAAGACTCAGTATATATTCTGATTTGGAAACAAAGGAAAGAGAGAGAACTATAGCCGCTAACACTTTCAGACTTTGAGCAGAGTTTACGCGATTTCATCGTCGCCATTCATCGCTACAAGACAAGTGTTACAAGTTCATTGTATGTCGATCTTCTTGTATTTCGCGTGATAGTTAGTCACGATTGGTCTTATTGGAAAACTATCACAACCGAAATGCAAGAAGATCGACAAGCAATGATCTCGTTATGACTGTCTTGTCCCGATCGATCGCGACGATAAAATCGCGTGAACTTTTTCTCCGATAATTGGAGCTTTGGAGATGATCTGCCAAATCTTTACTCACATCATATTGTATTTTGCTTGCAGAATTCTTATTTTTTACATACATTTTGTGATCTCTATATACGCAAAACCGTTTCATAATCTTTTCTCCAATCTTTTTAAAGCTTCCACAAATTTCGGTTAACGTCGCAATTCGCTCCAATCGCAAAGCGTACTTTTAAGCAAACCGAGTTCGGAGTGAAGTGTTTGCCTGGGAGAAGACGGGATGTGTACAGTTACTGATTTCAACGCACGATCCCCTCCCCTCTTCGATCGTGCTTGCTCTATTTCCTTTTCTCTCTGGAAGTTCTTTTTTATTATGTAATTTCGTAAAAAAATTTTTGAATAAAAAAATGGCTTTGTTTTAACCCTCCCTAGTTTCAACTGGTGCCGAGCCCTGGCATACTAGCCACGCTGCGTTTCCGACTAGCTTCCGGCTTCTTTGGGAAACGGGTGGGGGGCGGCGGTAAGCATTGCACCAAAACTCCGCCATTTCTGATTTTGCCGCAGTAACGCCTCTTGCCGCACTTGAGCTTCACTTGATAATTAACATTCACGATCTACAACTTTTGATAGTGTTGACATGAAAGCTAGAAAAATATTTTTGGAAGCTTCAAACGAAAACCACGCACTGCTTGCATGTCCGGCCTTTTCTCTGGATCTCTGTTCCACATTTTCTCGTTGACCAAAGTTATAATTTCTTTTGGCGTTTCTTTGGGAAAAATGTTGAGGTTTCCTTCAATGACCTGCAAATAAGCCATCACATGCAAAGAGCAAACTTTATTGTACAAATTACTTTCATTTGTACAGCCAGTCGACCCTCTCAAACATTCCTTTTGAAAGTAAAAAATGGTTTCCAATAAACTTTTGTCGTTTATGATGTTCTTTACTCGATTCTACCATAGACAGAACGCAATCTTGACAGAACATAATCTTGTAAAAAATACAATAAAAGTAGTATTTGTCCGTTAATTTGGAATGTTGAAGATGTCACAACTGTCAAGGTCAAGTAAGCTCATTCTTCTCCGTCTCTCAAAATAAAACCTAATCTTAATAATCTTTCACAGTGCCGGGGACGAACAATTTTTCTCGACTTACTTCCTAGTTTGATAAAATAAAGTGACCTTTTTTCTAGCCTTTGCAGCTGTCACGTCCCCGTAAGGGTCTTCTCCCGTGAATATCTCGTATATAAGAACCTGGCATGCATAAAATGACGTTGGCAAACAACACGAAATCTCCTACCCCAAAAGAGTAAACATCGCTCTTTTGTGAGAACGTGTATCGAGATATGCTTTCTGGGGCCATCCAACGGACAGGCATTTTTTTGGCTGACTTCATTTTGTATACTGTACCCACTCGAGATAACCCGAAGTCTGATATTTTGACCTGAAATAAATGTAACAGAGCAGTAATGAACTGCTAAAGATCGCTTACGGCGGAGTCGTGATCGTAAAGGCAGTTGCGGGCAGCTATATCTCTGTGCAGTATATTAGATTTGTGCAGGTAACCAACTCCCCATGCCGCCCCCAGGGCAATCTGCACTTTTTCGTCGATGCTAATAGATTTTTTGTTCGACCTTAGGTACATTTTCAATGAGCCACCTAAAACTCTATAAATCATTCGAAAACCAGCTACACGTCATTTAAACTCACTGTCTGTTTTACCTGCAACATACTCTAGAAGAATGTAGAGAGGGCGCTCAAGCACTCCAACTCCGTAGATTTTGACCACATTTGGGTGGTGCAAACCTCTCATCAACCTAGCTTCTTTCATCACTTCTTTGATAATTTCCTTGGATAACTCAGTATTCGCTTTGATCTGTAACATTTTAGTCAAGTCAGTTTTGCTTTAACTGAAATTTTGGAGCAAAAATGGGCATCGAAAAAAAGAATGATTCGATCAATTTTTCCTCGGTTAAATTTACAGTTTCATATTTTGAAGGATGGGGAAAAAGGTAATGATTGATTGAGATTGATTGATTATTTGATAGTGCAGAAAAACCCTGTATTCCACAGAGACTACGATAGTATACATTGTGTATGAAAGCCGTTATGAGCAAAGTTCGATCCAAGATGATCTTTTGAACGAAACCCATCGGCGAGTTCCAAAGCGTTAAACGAGAGAAAATATAGCCCGAATTACTTGGAAAATTTATAGATCTCCCTGCTGTTCAAGAAAATTACATTTGTGGGGGGGGGGAGGGGAGTAGAACTTGGGACGACACGATTCTTCCAGGATTAACCAGCTTTACTATCTTTTGTAAAAAAATCTCCGGCGCTTCTTAGCGCTCAATAATCTACGAAAGCAGTACTATCGAAAAAATGTGCGTTGCGTTACATCCTAGCGAATAAACGTCCCCGGAAGATTTGAGAAAACTGGAAATGGAATATCGAAGAATATGCTGTATATTAAGAGATTCGCCGATGAGCTGATTAATGCTCTTTTCGAATTGAGATTATATCTATTTGGAAAGAAGTTATGACGCAGCGTGTTTTGCGTGATAGGCGTAATTCGAAATTCCCTGAATATCGCGGAACGTGTTTATAAGCGTTATCAGTAATTTTGAAACAATTTTTTTCACTTTGCGGGCAGGATGATGTCAACATTAGATCATGCGCGACTCTGCGAGGCATTTTCTGTGTAAAAAGCTGACCACTTTAACTGCAACTTTCACTACAGAACCAGTTTTCAGCAACAGTTTTCCCTTCATCACTTCTGCGTACTGTCCACGGCCAATCATTTTTCCCACGCGAACATTTTTGTGCTCGAACTCCCAATTTGTCAATCCAATACCTCGAGTCAACTTTATTGTCTGGAAAAATTGATTAAGTATTTCAGAAGCCATTTATCAAAAAGGTTTACCACATCGTTTAAGACAAAGGTATTTTGCATGTGGTGCTCGAACATAGCGGCAGCTGACTCGAATTTGTGCTGAGGATCAACATATGTTTTCCCAGACTTCTCATAAATCATCAGATTCCGGACCTGAAATGTTATACACATCGCTCATACTGAACAAGGACTGAGTGTAAACTTTCGTGCCATTTTTAGATAGGTGATCTCATATCGAGCAAAGCTCATACATAATTGCTGTTGCTGTTTTACGTCGACGACCCTACATCTTTGATTTATCCTTACATGTTCCCCTCACTCTATTCCTCACTTTTGCTCGCTGCTTTTACTTGCATTTATATATATTTGGAACAAAAACCATGAAAACAGATAGAAATGAAGTAAATCGAGCAATTTTCATCGAACATACATTCTATCACGGTGCAACGAACAAACGCGAAGTTTGAACAAATATGTTTTGTGTGTTAATCAAATTTGCGAAAGTGCGCGATACGTGCTGTTGTATAACGTCCGTCCTCCTTTTTGAAAGTAGGGTCAAGCCTCGACGAAGGATCATACGTGAGGGAAGAGCGGGTAAAACTTAGTGAGAGATGGGCACCTAAGAGCACCAAAGAGCCATAGAGCCTAAGAGCACGAAAAAATAGCAACAAAAATCGTGCCAGACGAGTGCCAACTAGCCCTAAACTATACACTTTAGCAGCGCGGCAAGTAAGTCTTTCTATGTTGTTGAGAAGCGATATCTTTATGTACCGTGCTTGCTTTGTATCATTTAATTACTGACTTTTGGCTGGGTTCATACTGATTCTCATATTCTGGAACTGTTCCCGCACAAATCTCGCACTGTGCTGGAACTGTGCGGGATCAGTTCCAGAACTGTGCTGCATGCGCTGCAGCTGCCCCGCACCGTTTCGAACGGAGGGAGTTGGAGAATTTTGACCATCCTCAACGGTTGTTCTTTCAGATTTATCTCATTTTGGCCTTATTCCTCCACCCCGCTTCCCTTTTTGATCAGCAGAACTTCGAACTCGAAGCGGGGTTGAAGAATGAGCGCTTTTCTGCTCCATGTATCCGGAAAGATAAGCCTTCGTGCGCTCGTCCATCCTCTCATCGCTATTTTTGTTCAAACCTACTTCATATGTTCTAGCAAAACGCTGCGTAGTTTCGCATCTGTATTGATGACATAGACAGGTCTCTAGAACACATGAAGGAGGTCTGAACAAAAATGGCAGAGAAGAGGATGCACGAAAGTCTATCTTTTTGGATACATGAAGCAGAACAGCATTCAATCCTTAATCCCGCTTCAAATTCAAAGCTTTTCTCATCAAAAGGAAAAGCGGGGTAGAAGAAAGAACGGAGAAGCAACGATAAGGAAAAACGAAAGGGGCTGAGAACGCCCAAAATCATCAAAAACAAGAAACAAGTACAATTCATGCAGTTTCAGTTTTGCTTCTGCTCTCTAATTTGTGGTAGATGGCTATGGAAACTACGCAGCGGATTCTTGGAACAAATGGATTAGGTCTGAGTAAAAATTAAGCGACGAAAAATGGACGAGCACAAGAACACGCGTTTTGTCGCATAAGCAGAATAGAAAAAAGCTCCTTCTTCAACCCCGCTTCGAGTTCGAAGTTCTGCTGATCAAAGAGAGAAGCGGGTGGAGGAATAGGCCAATGAGAGAAATCTGAAAGAAAAACCGTTGAGAACGGTCAAAATTCTCCAACTCCCGCCGTTCAAACGGTGCAGCGCATGCAGCACAGTCCTGGAACTGTTCCCGCACATTTCCAGCACAGTGCGAGAACTGTGCGGGATCAGTTCCAGAACATGGGAATCAGTATGAACCTAGCTTTTGTTGAATTTGATCCCTACTGTTCTGTTGTTAGATTCAGATTCAGTTCCATAAATTTTCCGCCTATCTCGCCTGTTCTCATAAAGCTATACTAGGTGCCTGGTAACAGTGGTACGTTCTCACGGTCGATTGTGTGTAGCCAAACCTCCTGGAGTCCAGGCAGGATGGATGGCGATAGTTGCGAGCGTAAACAGCATCACTTCAAACTTCCCCTTCTTGGCTCCGCGTTGACGGTTGGTTGTACTGGCAAGGGACAGAACCCGAAGTCGAAAATGACTTTTTACAAGAGTTATATAGCAATCCGAAGAGCATTAAACGCTGATTTCAAGACTGTCTTTGCTATCTGCCAAGCGCCTCTAGACGCTGAGTTATGAGCGTTTTTTGACTCGGAAAATTGAACGTGCAAATGGTACAAATTCGTCCAAATTGCGCAATCGGTTTGGGGGTGGTATCTATCAGACCACTTTCTGTATAAAAAACTTTTTTTCTAATATACTCGTGCTCAACACTTCTTTAATGGAGGGCTCGGAAGACCATAACCATTTTATTTACTCAGGTTTTGCTGCCATTTTTATAACCATTGAATTTACCTAGGTTTTGCTGCCATTTTTCGCTCCAAAAAACATTAATAATTCAGCGTCTAGAGGCGCTTGGCAAAAAACAGAAACAGTTTTAGAATCAGCGTTCGATGCTCTTCAAATTGGTTTACATTTCCTTTGGAAAGCCGATTTCAACAGTGGGCCCTTCCTTGGTGAGTATCCATCGCAGGTTTCGATCCTTGAGAGCAGCAGTATGGCAGTTCTAGCGTGAGTGACCAAGCACGAAAGTGGAGTATACATCTATGTCCAAGAAGTAATTCTGCGGGCAAAAGATTACCAGGTGAAGACGGGTGGATCGTACTGCTGCACACAGCAGAGCTTCGAAAGCGCTTCCAAAAAGTTTCCTTCTTCTTTTATCTCCAAAAATCCTCTCTTAACAGTTCCGTTGAAGCGTTCAGAAACCTCATCCGACTGCGGGTACTGGGAAGAGAATTGCGTACCGTTGTTCGACCTCGATTTCATTGCTCGGATCCAAATCTGTTGAAGATATTCAGAGGTTCTTGCGTGGTATCTGGTCAGGTAGTCGTCTGCGTTTCCAAGATTGGCCCAGCGGAGGTGTGCATCCACGACGACAAAATAACATGTCCTTAAAGCGGTCCAGCAAAGTCAGTTCATTTTCCACGGAATTTTTGGCTGCAAATCTTCCACCGTCTTAAATTTTCTTCTACACCAAGCCTGTAGAGTAGTTGCAAGTAATCATCTTCATCCGCTTTTGTTCAGGAGGTCCATCGTGTAGCATTCGCCAAATCTTTTTCCTCAGTGGGGGCACGACAAATTATCTAAAAAAATGCGTCCGTTGTCAGTGAAAAGTTCTTTTTGCTGACTCTTAATTGAACAACAGCGTTTCGGGAAGCGTTTTTGGTAAATGTTTGCCTGGAGACAATTGAGCAACTCCATCAATTCGTCCTTTTCCATGGCAGAGGATACGTCTTCCACTAAAACTGACAGCTCGTCAAGTGCACTTAAGTGGCGGTGACATCAGCTTTTACGTTAGCGATGACATCTTCGTCCGGCGCACTCCGGCAGGAAAGCAACAGAGAAAGAGCATCGATCTGTCCAAATGATGTTGTAGAGCAGTGTTTAATGACAGATCCTAGTCAAGCAGCGTCATTAATTTGTTGCCAGCCGTTGGCGATGTTGTGGCATTCCTTTCTTGCTCCCGAAGACAGTGAGCGGCTGGCGATAGTCCTTCATCAGCGTGGGTCGGCATCATAGATGTAGCGTTGAAACTTCTTGATGGCGAAAACTAGGCCAGTCTGCGAGTAATTCTTTTTATTTGTGGCAGTCGTGGCACGGGTTGCGTGGCATAAGACCTTTTGCGGTCCAGCCGGGTAGGGGTGAGAGATCACGGTCTAATATCCTAGTTGCTTGCGGCATCACGATGATCGGCTTCTTGTCGTCTTGGCACGGCAGAAAATCCGTGTCAGGAATTTGCAAAGGCGATAGCTGCTTTCTGGCGCTCTTTGCTCCAAACAAGCGGTGCGTCTTTCCTCTTCAAGGCGTCCAATGGTCCGCGTAGTGGAAGCATTATAAGCACGAAAGACGAGTGCGACGAAACATCCCAATGCATGATTCGAGCTGTTTGACATTTTGGGGCGGCGGCCATAGGGCGATGGCAAATCCTTTCAAAATCAGGGCCTCTTTTTTGACTCAAACTCAGTGCCCATGAGCTTCTCGCCTGCTCTCATTGAGCTTCCCTAGTGCCTGGTATCAAATGGTACTTCTCAAAGTCGCATTTATATGTAACTACCGCAATCGTTCAATGATTCTCATTCTTCCGACCAACTGATAAATGCTAAGTATTCCACTTTCCCACTGTCCAATTATACATCCAAACGAATGACGAAGTTCAAGAACTACAACCTGTATACTTCAGCAATCTCAATATTAAATTTTTTACCTCCCATAATACTTATGTAAGCACGCGAAAGCGGTGTGCCATGCCATGTTTCTTTTCAATGTTTGTTGAGATGGGAGAGTCGACATTTACTCACGATAAAGCAAAATCTTTAATTGATTAATGCTACATTGCTTAACATCTCTTTCAAATAATATATTCGGAATTTATCGACTGTCGAAACAGTTGTTTTTCACCTTGAAAGCAGTCCCCCTTGAATAATGCAAAGCCGATAAGGACGAAGTAGGCAACCACCTTCACTTAGACTATGCAGTACAACGTATTACTATAACAGTCTTACCAGTCTCGGTCAATGTCTTCGATGAATCTAACAATATTCCTAAATAATGCGCAGAGAGATGAATGACATTTACAGCAGAGTGACTTTTTTCTCCTTCTACTTCCAAGCTCTGCTTTTGATCAAAGAGAACAGTAGCTAACCACTATCTGATTTGATCGGTCAAATGTGCTTGCTCAACTTGTGCACTCTTAGGCCCGTATGCACGTACATCCCCGCGGGGAGGGGATGTGCGCTTAACCATTGAAATGATCCCCGCTGGGGATCCCCTTCCCTCCCCGCGCGAACCCCTGTATGCACAAAGACAATATCGGACAAGGGATCCCCTGTGGGGAGGGGAAGTGAACCCCCTTATGCACAAGAGGGGATCAAGCGGGGAAATCACCTTGCTTTCAAATTTTCTATGGAAAACTCTTTTTCATTTCATATTTTGACTGCAACTCATCTTCATCTCCTCACTTTCAATAATTTAGGGTTGCGGAATGCGCGTATGCAGTGACTGCGCTCGGGACACTAAAAATGATTTTTTCTACTCTCATTATGTTCCCGCTTTCTTGGATGCTGCCCACTTTCGCTCATGCCTCATTTCAGCGTAAAAATGTTGAACTATAGAAGTTGATGTGTCTCTGCAAGGGAATGGGTAGAAGACGTTATGCTGCCGAAAAGGGGGGGGGTGCCGCGCGGACGCTCAAAGCAGTATTCTAACACATAACAGAAGCTGCAAATTGTGCCAGCTCTCCATAAACGTTGTAGCTATCAGCTGCATATCGTGCTTTATCCCAGGGGATTGATCCCCAGCAGCGATCTCTGCTATGCACAAGGGGAACGCTGGGGAGGGGATCACTCCCCAGGGGATTTCTACTCAGAAATAGGCAAATATGCTACTTTCTAGATTTTTTCAAGGCAGCTCATGTTAAAATAACAAGATAATGGCAACATGTCATGAAATATGAAAGTTACAATGTGTTTACTCAGCCTATATAGTTAAAACTATTATGTTATGTGAAAAATGCGCAAATTTTCTGAATGATCAAGAACTCCTACAAATAATCGAAATTGGCAGCTATCATTGCTCGGATTTTTTCTCAAGAGGCGAATATAGAAAAGAAAGACAAATTGCAAGCCACAGGTCGCTGAGAGAAGAACCCGGCTTTCAAAGAAAATCCTCCATCAAAATGAACGAAATGCTTGGTAATGACTGAGCAAAACCAGAATATCCGCGTCTCTGGCATGATCTACACCATCGAACCCCTACTTCGTTGCAGGGGATGTCGATCCCCTCCCCCGCGTTAATGAGTTGAATTCGCGCATACGGGGTTCGAGTGGGGGAAGGGAAGGGATCCCCTCCCCCATTCGAACCCCGTATGCACTGGGGTTTGCTCGATCAATACCTCTGAAACCATTCACACCATCCCCGCCTAGGTGCAGGGGAGGGGATCGCTCCCCTCCCCTCTGTCATGGCGGGGTTCGGCGGAGGGGATCGTTCCCCTGGGGATCCAGCTCCCCTCCCCTCCCCAGCGGGGACGTACTTGCATACGGGCCTTAGTATGCTAACTATGCTTACATCTTCTTCCATTCATCCATGCACTCGTAACGGAGTATATGGTATGTTATTAAAGTGAGAGTTCGCGCAAAGACGATGTTATTGCAAATGATATTTACAGCAATTGATACCATTTCCAGTTTTTCATCTTCCGTTGCTTTCGCATATGTGTCTTCGGGGTCCGAAACAACGCATATAATTGGTGAAATTCTTCGCCGCATCTCATCCGTCTTGGTTGTGTAGAATGTCTGCAACGATGTAAATCACCACAAAAAATCAAAAAAGTTTCGTTTGTGATGTTAGGCAAGTCCGTCTATTAAGTCGATCCAAAAGTTGTTGCCTTTTTCAGGCCTATCTTCATGTCACCCAGAATGAAGATAAACAACAATCAAACGATGTTCGACGCAGAATTCCTTCGTATGTTTAGTGGTGATGTTTTTGTTCGAGGTCCTTTGATGTTCGCTCGAATAATCGCCAGAAACTCCAACTGGTTTTTACCTATTCTAAGTTTGGCTACTTTCTAAATTTCCATTTTCAACTTTTGGCCTAGCTTTGATGATAGTTGGATACAACAAACAGAAAGCAAAACAATACATTTCTGGCAACTTTAGTTGGCTTCACATGTCCGAAATTAGTTTTCTTGATGCTACCAAATTCCATGTTTGGGCATCCCAATCCTCATAAAACAATGAACGGCGAGCAATCATGGCGCCAATCGATGCAGCATTTCCTCCTCCTTCTGACAGACTTTTCTACTTCCTGTCTAAAATATTTGAAGAGAGTAATATCAAATTTTGTTCTCAGAAGCGCTAAAGGCTGTGCTAAGAAAATTCGGAATTTGCTGAAGTCAGTGTTCAATCATAAGCTGTTTTTGTAAGCTTTGAAATACTAGTCTTTAAAACGACTGCGTATTTTACGAATTCCCAAAAGTAAAGGCTTTCGGAAGAATTAGCTTAAAATTTACTGAAAAACCAGTTGAAAAAATCGAATTAGTTCATTGTATTGCATTTTCTTTATTCTATCCAACTATCATTGAAGCAAGTCCAAAAGTGGAAAATGGAAATTTTCAAAAGCCAAATTAGCCAAACTTAGGTTGTAAAAACCATGAGTTGGAGAGATTCTGACATTTATTCGAGCGAACACCAAAAAATTTTGAAAAGAAACATCATCACTAGGAAGAGAGAAATTCTGCATTGATTACTTGGATCGTTTGTCTATCGTTATTTTGGGTGGCATAAAGATAGGCCTGAAAACGACACAAACTTTCGGACCTAATATTTTCATGCACACATCAAGTGGCTGCGCTTCTTTGGCGGCCGTATACGTAAATAATTCTGAAAGAGATCTACCTTGAGGCGGGCTAACTAAGGCTTTTTTCAAAAATGCCGTTGATTAAGGTGAAGATCATTCTTTGAGATTAAAATTGCACTCCAATAGAATATGTAGCTTCAGTCTATTTAGGGTGATATGGCTCAAGATTTGCACAGCAGCTGCAAGACTGCAAGAAAGCCTTCTTTGCAGATACAAGGGGCTACAAACGTAGTGGGTTGCGTTTAATATGTGCAGCACATTGTTGGTTCAAAGGTCAAGTTTTCCTGCACATGCAGAAATCACCGTAACTGTAAGTCTAGCAATTTTAGAAGACCTATCATGATTTATGCCTGCACTTTAATTGCGAGTAGATCTAGAGAACACCTCCAAAACTATCACCTAACAAGTCCGCTGAGAGCGCTTTACGCTTTTTACGAAGACCATCTACGAAAACACAAAGATTATCACTTGTAAGGACGACGATAAGGAGCTAGCCCAGTGTTTCTAACCAACAAACTGGAAGGGCATGTTCACCCAGCCAAACAGCGAGTGATAAGTTCAGACAACAGGAATGAGGACTTCTTAGAAGAAAGACGGTCTTTTCGCACCCGTAGTCCGGCGCCACCCTGATGACTTGCCTTAATAGTTACGCCCGCATTTCTTCCACTATTTCGTACCTCGGCAAAAGCCGCCGCAAAGTATGTCGCGCGCGGCAGAGGTCCCGTATGGAAACCCTTATGATTGTGCAAATCGCCCTACACCCTTGTCAGAAACCCTCCTCTTAGCATAAAATAGTGGAGAGCACTCCACTACCAATGCATTTCTATGTGTGGAATGAGCGTTTGATAGACATGAAGAACATTTAATGAAAGAACAAGAGATGGAGCAGAGTGTAACCTTTAGAGAGGAGCCTTCAAGGGAGCCACCAATCAACTGACGAAGTCGGACCTTTAAATACGCCCTTCGACTTACTCGTTCTTCTGTGCTCTACACGTCCAAGGTGCTAAAGTTGTTGAGTTTTCTGAACTTTACCTCCAAAAGGATAGATTAGCCTTCTTGTTCATTCATCGGTTTATATAAATATGTTCTTAAATGTCGCCAAAAAGGGCCAATAATGAAGTGAGTCGTCGATTTTTCAAGCTTCCACTTAGGGAACTGAGTTTTTGCTCAAAGATAGAGCTTATGATGGTCATTGCCCCTAAGGTGGTTGTCATGAAGTGAGTAATAAAACCTATTCCGCATTCATTTTTCTGCAAAAAAAAGTTCGTCTTTCAAAAATTACCGTTCTTACAAAGAAAAGCTTTTACAATGAGCCGTTGCTTATGTCATCATGATGGTCATTAAGTCATTCATGATGGTCAGAGGTGAGTTTCAAAGCATCATGCGAGCACGAGGAAGGCATGCAGTCAGTAGACGAGTGCGACCTTCTGCGAAGCAGGGTTGGGCCAGACTGCGCGGCGTACGCGACGTACGCAGCGTACGCCGCGTATGCTCCTATGATGAAATATACCGGGCGTACGCTGCGTACGCCGCGTACGCCGCTTCCCCGCGAAGTCTGGCTCAACCCGCAGAGTTGATGCACTAGATGTCAGTGAAATAGACAGCAGTAAGCATTGACGTCACGCAGAGACATTGAAAATCTGCTTGCTATCTATACTGACCTAATTCCTTCCGAAAGAAAGGTGACGCACTGGTGAAATTAGAAATGTGTTGCAACTACAGAATGCTTTCAGTACCTCTGTAGATCGCACCAGGAAATCGCCGTGTTGGGTTAGTATCGACGGAATATCCTGTCTATTAAGGTATCCATGATAGTAGTATTGTGAAGCAATCCATGGATCAATTTTGTTCTAAAACCAGGTGTTGATGACTATGACTGGTTTGCTGAAGAATCCTTACCTGCTCTATTATACTGTCCGAGACGCTTATGCCTTCACGCGATTCTGATTTTGACCTAGCTTTGAAAGGCTTCTCAAAGCTTCCTGCCATATGATGACGGTAAACTAATGAAAATGAACAAGCTTCCACTAGGGCACTCTACGCCGCAAGTTTTGCAAAATTCATTTTGTAGAGAATGAACAGAGCGGCTGGGCTGCTGACAATAATAACACCCATTGTTCATCAGATTTTGCTGCCCGTCAGCGATGCTTGTCCGCATTACTCTTAAAGAAAATAGTGCCACATCGTTCAATAATACCTCTCGTTAGAGTACAGTTAAGTTGTTTACTGCTACTTTACTTTGATAATACCTGTTCTTTGACAACACGTAGGTTTTTAAAATATCTAGTTTATGTTAGTATACCTAAGCACCGACAAGTGATATTAAGGGTCAAAGAGTGGACTTCCTGCAAATGACAAACGTCTATCAATACAAAAAATAGCCGAACGAAAAAAATATAACGCATAGTTGGACCATTCGCTCAATGCAATCCTGACACATCAAAGGCTTAGAGTAAGCAGGTCTGACGTCTCACACTTACAGTATATGCAATAATCTGGGAGACTGATCCACAATAAATCGGTGTGAATCCTTTACAGTCGATTGATACTACAACGTTAATGGGTAGAAGTTTTTCGTTTCGAACAAAATGTGTGAAAAATCTCGTGATGAGTGGAAGCTTGAATCAAGGAGATCCCTATACACCTTGTTATTAATAAGGCTGGGTTCATACTGACTCCCATGTTCCGGAGCTGTTCTCGCACAGATCCCGCACTATGCTGGAACTGTTCTGGAACTGTGCTGCAGGCGCTGCAGCTGGCCCGCACTTTTGAACGGCGGGAGTCGGAGGATTTTAACCGTTTTCAACGTTTTTTTTTTCTCCATTTTCTCTCATTTTGGCCTTATTCCTCTACCCCGCTTCTCTTTTTAAGCAGCAGGACTTAAAACTCAAAGCGGGTTGAAGAATGAGCGCTCTTCCAGTTTGCGTAAACGACAAATTGTGTGTTATTGTGCTCGTCCATTTTCTCTTCGCTTTATTTCCAAGGCGCTGCGCAGTTTACTATTTGTATTGAGAGAGGCACAGGCAGTTCTTTGAAACACTTGAAATAGGTGTAAACAAGAATGGAAGAGAGAATGGACAAGCGCACGATGACCCATCTGCTCGGATACGAGGGACAGAACAAGGTCATTTCTTCTACCCCGCTTTAACTTCACAGCTTTTTTTCATCACACGGAGAAGCAGGGTAGAAGAAAGAACGGATAGGCAACAATAGAAAAAGGGAACGTGGCTGAAAATACCCAGAAAGGAGAATCATCAAACAAGAGGAAAGACCCAATTTTTGCTTTTTCAGAATTGTTCGCATGCCCTGATTCAAGACAGATGCCTGAGGAAACTCAGCCTCTTCCTAATGGAGCACAAAAACACACCTTCGTCGTATACGCAGAGTAGAAAAGCGCTCATTCTTCAACCCCGCTTTGAGTTCGAAGTTCTGCTGCAAAGAAAGCGGGGTAGAGGAATGAGGCCAAAATGAGAGAATTGGAAGAAAAACCGCTAAAGACGGTCAAAATCCTCCAACTTCCGCCGTTCGAAACGGTGCAGGGCGGCTGCAGCGCACACAGTTCCGGAACAATTTCAGCACAGTGCGGGATCTGTGCGGGAACAGTTCCGGAACATGGGAGTCAGTATGAACCCAGCCTAATCTTCTCCATCCTGCTTCCTCACATTTTCCTCCAAAATATAAAATGCATTCTGCCAACTTGGTTTAGACTGAAGTTTTGGGTTGTTGCGACTTCTATCATCAACGTCATACGTATCCAACTCTCTCACCTTTCTTCCTTGCATCTCCCCTATAAGCGAGTGTGAGGCTTTTGTAAGTCTTCTCCATTCTTCTCTGATAATAGCTATAATAGCTGTTCATTTATCTCAAATGCTTGCATTTTCTTTATACTCTATCCTGACCAGCCATCGCAAAATTGTTCCTCCTCTTGGTTTCTTTCCTAATCGCTCACTGCATCCTGAATTGATTCTGCGCTCTTCTTTTTTTTACTAGCGTTCACACCATCGAAGGAGCCTTTTTGCATCTTCTTCACGCTGGCGCGACTATCATCACGCTTCGTTGGTGAACTCAGGATACGATTGGACGGCAATTCCTACTGTCCCATCTCAGCTTTCATTCCCCCTACATTAGCTTTTTTTTCTTTTACTAGGTGTTGACAAGCACTCCCCTTTATAGCGTTTGGTTGGATGGTATATCAGGGGCTCGATATTAGCAGAATCCGTTTCGCATAGGTTTGTGACGCTCATCCATGCTTGAATCGTCCCATTAGTTTTCTTGTCGGGAATTAGATCTGGGAACATACGTGTTCCATGAAAGGAAATGACGCTTATGATCAGCCTACCTCGTATTTCAATGATGCCATATTTAAAATGTATGTATATGTATAAAAATTTTTCGCTTCCATGTACTTTCTCTTCGTTGCATTTAGCTACACTTGTAGCTTTAGCCGATCATACCCTTGATTTATCGGGATTAGCGGCTGGAAGGCGGATGTTCGAGGCCTAATCAAGGCTAGAGAATGATCAGAGAGCACGTTCGCGAGAGAGACGCAGAATGCATCTGGGCGCTAGCTTCGCCTTCCAGCCGCCAATCGTTGAATCAAAGGGTATCTTCTGCACATTTTTTGAGTTTATGTTAAGTTATTCTTTGTTATTTTCAGTTGCCAGTATGATTACATCATTGCATAAATGCGAGCCTATAATGGTGGTCAAGTGTGATTTAATCTTGCACCCATTATTGAAATTTTTGCGCACATTCAGAATCTTTTCTGGAGCACTGCTTTGCTGCACCCTTTACGTATCTCTGTAGTGCATCATTTATTCTCAATTTCTGCAGCACTTTATGCGCATTTTTTGTGATCGCTTCTTGCACGGTAACAGCTTTGGCCTTCTGGTTCGTGCCTGTGTAGATTACTTACCATCTGGTCGACGCTGTTCTTCAGCTGCGTCCATTGTTGCTTTAGTCTGTCTTCCAGCTACGATAGGATTGGCTAAACTACAGCTTTTGTGCATACGTTGTGTTTGATTTTCAACCATTTTCTGCGTGCTTACTCCCCTCATATGTCTCTTTTTACAATAGATATTTTATCGACATTCAAGTCCAAGAGCAGTTGCCTCTGCCAAGGTGCACACTCTTCGCCGGGGTTAACACAATTGTCCTCTACCCTCAAGCTCACTCTGTTGTACTTCAATAATGTGTTCGCTAATAGCTACGAGCTGACGCAACAGGGCCCACAGTGATCCCTAAGGTTGTCACGCCCTAAGGAAAACGCTATCGTGACCGGCACGATTAAGTTATATGTGCACCCCGGATCGCGAAAGCGTGAACGCCACGCGCAGCCGCTGCTTATGGGCAACGCATTAGTAGGAAAAGGGTGCGCAAGCATTTAGTGTATCTTGTGCGCAGTAATGCAAAAACTATAGAAGCAGCTTTCCTTGCGCACGCCTCGCCTGTGAGTCTGGAAATATGGAAGGAAAATCCCTGAAGTAGGCTACTATTAACACTCAGGCGCTTCTAAAAATTCTTTGTGAAGTATTGAGCACAGCACAGCGTTACTTTTGGACGGTAACATGCTGGAGCTTGGGGAGGGGGGGGGGTACAATTCATGCAAACAAATTTTTCGCACGTCATTGTTGTGAGATGTGGTTGACCATTGATGTATCGAGTCCGCGATTCCGTTCAGACTATCTCTTGGAGGTGATGGTATGTGCAGTAAAAATTGTTGGGAGAACAATTGATGCACGCTTTAAACCTGATGGCAGCAGAACTTCCAAGAGAATCACGATAGCCGTCGCGAACGCGATCGGTTGATGTATTACGAATGACGTAATATCGACCGTGCCCTTGTCAAACGCTCCTGCGCACGTCATCGTGTTCTTGAACGTGTTCGATCCCTCGTTCTGTGCCGGTAACGGCTGCCTCTCTGCATTTAGAGCCAGACATGCTGCTCTTCGTCTGTGTTCACGACCGGCACGGCGACATCATGAGCTGAACTTGGGAGGGTCATTGCGGGCCTAGGATATGCTTTACTTCCTCGTTATGTATCAGTAAACATGGCTAACTTCCAAGGATCTTTTCGTTGCTCTTCAAATGTCCTCAAGGCCTGCACGATTAGTGGCATCTTTGTGTATAAAGCTGAATGTCTGTTTGTCTATCTGTATGTCTGTATGTCTGTATGTATGTCTGTATGTCTGTGTGTACGTATGTTCCGAATAGAAAATTCCATTTCTGAACCGATCCGGACCAAACTTGGCACACGTACACTTCGGGCCCCGGCGGGTGTCATAGGCTACTTTTCGTCGTCGATCGATATCAATTTTATCGATTTTATCGATTTTTTTGCAGAGTTTGAGCTACGGGGCTGGGAGGTGGCACAAGGGGGTTATCGAGCATGATGATTACGAATACTTTATTAGATTTTAGAATTATCCGCCGCTTTTATCGATTTCATCGATTTTTTTGCATAGTTTGAGCTACGGGGCTGGGAGTTGGCACAAGGGGGTAATCGAGCATGCTGATTACTAACACAGCGGGAATAGGCAATAGGCATGTAGAAGTGTGCACAGGGAAAGGTTGTACATGGATAAGGATGGGAACTTTGTCATAATGTTTTGAAAGGCCGGGCGGAGCTGGGAAAGCCAGCTAGTCTCTTCTAAATCAAGCTCACGCCGTCACCGAGCTATTGTCAAAGCTCCTTCTTCCATGCTTTCTGTTTGTGATCAAGGCTCGGTACGAGGAAAGCAAGGTCCTCTTTGAATTTTGCGAATTTTTACGCAATTCCCTTTGACCCTAGACATAATTCCCAAAAAAAAATCTCCAAAAAACGAAACGTCGAGTAAAACAAACGTCGCAGATTTCGTGTCTTTTCGGCCACAAAAACGAAACCGCTTTGCTTTTTGTCCTAAAAACGATATTCAGCTTGCTTGTAAGCCACCTGTGCCGAGCCCTGTTTGGGAACGCAGACGGTTATACACGGTTATTCAATTGAAGCCAGTTAGCCTATCTTTCTCTTCAAAGACTACTAGGCCATACCAATACTGTTGCTGCTTGCTCCTTCACACACAGGCACACACAGGCTTGAAGCCGCAACCTATGTCTCTGGTTTTCTCCCTTTACATGTGGTCTAAATCGCAGGCAATGTTCAGTTTGCTTATTCACAAAGGTCGTCCTCGTGATATCGAGCTATGAAGGATCTGATGCCAGTTGAAAATAGCTAAACGAATATTTCAGAACAGTCGTATCCATTCAGTAGCCTAGCACATTTATCCGTTTCCGATGGGTGTATGCCAAGATGAACGATAGCTGGAAATAAGCATACTGTACTCGTGCGCAGACGTGCGATAGTCGGAGCCGATTCTCCGCCTACCTTCACTTTTGAGCTGGTACAGGGTGACCACCTTCACTTTTGGGTTTGTAAATTTTTTTGCTAAAGCTCAAAAGAAGGAAAATAGGCAAAAGGAATGTAAAAGAAAGTGTTAAGAGCATATATCTATGTAGTAGGTCGATCAAGGCAGCAACCGCCGAGAACCAGAATTTCGAATGATAAAATAATGAAAAATCGTGAAAAATCATTCCACTGTTACAAATCTGCTGGTTGAAGACCTCCGCAGTTGCGACTTCATAGGTTTTGAAGGGTAAGTGTTGTTCTACCAGAAAGTGAAAAAATCAGTTTGATTTGAGGAGTGGCCGCCGAAAACGAGAATTTTGAAAAACCTTAATAATCTTTTCAATTTTATTGCTTAATGGCAACTGACATTTAAACTCTTATAAATCCGGACTTTGAAGGTGTGTGATGTTGCGACTTCATGGGTATTGTAGAATGAGGTTTGCCCTATCAGAATATGTCTTAGCTGTACCGATCCATTGAAACCTCGCCGAGATCCAGGCTCTTGAAAAAGCAGGTGAAAAACCGTTTTTCAGCTTATAACTTCTTCAGAATTGCATAATTCATGTTGCGACTTCATAGATTGGATTCTCCTCATCAAGAGCTTTCAGATGATATATAATATGTGGGGATTCGCGCCTCCTACGGCATATGCCCGGGGGTGGAGTACCTCTCTTCACTAATTCTCCACTGGCGGCCTCCCGTTAATACATTGAAATGGGCGGGGTGGAGAATTAGTGAAGAGGAGTACTCCACCCCGGGTTAGAGCCGCAAGAAACATGGAATCCCCCACATATTATATATCATCTGAAAGCTCTTGATGAGGAGTCCAATCTATGAAGTCGCAACATGAATTATGCAATTCTGAAGAAGTTATAAGCTGAAAAACGGTTTTTCACCTGCTTTTTCAAAAGCTTGAATCTCGGCGATGTTTCAATGGATCGGTACAGCTAAGACATATTCTGATAGGGCAAATCTCACCCTACAAAACCTATGAAGTAGCAACATCACACACCTTCAAAGTCCGGATTTATAAGAGTTTAATTGTCAGTTGTCATTAAGCAACCTAAAATTGAGAAGATTTTTAAGGTTTTTCAAAATTCTCGTTCTCGGCGACCACTCCTCAAATCAAACTGATTTTTTCACTTTCTGGTAGAACAACACTTACCCTTTAAAACCTATGAAGTCGCAACTGCGGAGTTCTTCAGCCAGCAGATTTGTAACAGTGGAATGATTTTTCACGATTTTTCATTATTTTATCATCGAAATTCTGGTTCTCGGCGGTTACTGCCTGGATCGACCTACTTTCTTCGCAGTACGTCATAACAAAATGTACTTGATGAAACACACAAAGTCTAGCTGAGTATCACTCACAAATACTATTTCACTAACACCTTTATTCAAAATATTTATGCAGTTGTACTCATCGTATTTGTGGCCCTAAAGAGGGCCGTTGGGTTAGAGCTCTTCAGTTGTCCTAGTCATCATGAAGCTTTGCTCTGTCGTAGAAAGTGCTGAGACGTATATGCGTCCATGCCGGTGATGGCCTCCAGGTGCTCGCAGTAGGCGACGGCGACTTCGTAAAAATAAACTACATAGAATATGCCCTCAATACTTTCTTTTGCGTTCGTTTTGCTTAATTTCCTTTTTTCAGTTTCACCAAAAAAATCAATACCCAAAAGTCGAAAAAAAAACCCGAACCAAAAAAAACCAAAAACCCAAACCCAAAGTCCGTTCTGTGCTGCCCCCCTCTCTACCCCCACCCCCGGTCAATGTTTTTTTGTCCAGCACTACCACCTTCACTTTTGCTGGCCAGTGGTAGCTGCGATCCCCCCCCCCGGTCGACATTTTTGGAAGGTGAGTGTCCGGCACTACCACCTTCACTTTTGGCCGGCCAGTGGTAACTGGAACCACCTTCACTTTTGAAGGGCCGGGCTCCACATATCGCATCTCTGCTCGTGCGGTTGTCAATATGCCGCGCCTAAAGTCTTATTTTTTTAAAGCGATATGTTCTTCACTGGGATGAAAAGTGTCGAGCAGTAAGAATAAGGCGGTCTCGAGCTCCCAGCGTTTTTTCCAAAACTTTGAATATCATCATAGCGTAATTATAGAATCTAGAAAATATCTGACCTACGCAACGCATATGGCTGGCACAATCTATCGTTCATGTTGGCTGCCCCCCGTTTCCGATTATTTTCGCTCATTAAGACAGTAAGCCTAACATGCGCCGCCTTCGGAAAACGCCATAACTTTTACTGAAAATTGTATCTCAATAAGTGCATTTTAATGTTTCGTTCAATCGATTTGCCACCTGAAGTTGGATGAGCTGAAATTGCGAGTAGAGCTTTGCCAAAATTGAGTTTGACGCGGAACCGAATCCGTAACCTTCATTGCTATAACAAGAGCATTGATCTTTTGTTCAACTCTGCTACAGCTTCAATCATAGTCGAGGAAGTTACTAACAAGGAGAGGATACTTAGTCGAAAGCACCAATCCAGATGACACATATATCATCTTGAACCGCTTGAAACGCTATTCCAAATCTGCAGTTTCTAGCTGCGGAGCGGTTTTGTAGAGAGAGTTATGAGGGGTGTTTCCCCTGAGGTTGAGGCGCCCTCTACCAGGTGTCCCCCTACCTATGAGCAGTGTAGAGGAGTACCAACTGGTGGCAACTGACCTAGTGGTGAGTGACGTGCTTGATAAAGAGAGTCAAGGTTTTAATCCCCCTCGCATGCTAAATTGAATTTTTTAAATGGCTTTAGAGCCCTAAAGCATGAAACTTTTGATGATATTGATACTAATCGAAGTTAGAAGTGTTAAAAAACCAAAGTATTATGAGTATTATAATCTTTACTGTAATCTTCTTTCAAGTTACTTACCATTAGGCAGTTGCCATCAGCTGATACTCCTCTACAGTGCTTACAGATAAGGGGAGACCGCTGGAGAGCGCCTAAACCCCAGAGAGGAACACCCTTCATAACTCCTTCTACAAAACCGCTCCGCAGCTAGAAACTGTAGATTTGGAATCAGCGTTTTAAGCGCTTCAAGATGATATATGTCTCACCTGGATTGGTGCTTTCGACTAAGTATCCTCTCCTTGTAAGGTACTAAACAACACTGACCGAGGATGGGGTAGGGGAAAGAACTCCGCTATGAGCCCGCCTTCGCTGGCAACTAGTTCTTTTGCAACGTTGTTGCATGTCTTTGCAGGACCAGTAGTCCGCAGAGGCGGCTCAAACTGGTGAAGTTCGCTCCCCTACCCACCGAAGATGTGACACTTCGATGACATTTTTGGGATCATGTAGACATGTAACAGTGGTGTACCCAGGATTTCGGCTCGGGGGGGGGCGACAAAAAAAATTTTTAATGAAAGTGCGTGGCGCACGCCACGCACCCAGAAAATTTTTTTGGTACGCTCCTCAAAATTTTCGCGGGCCTGCAAACCGCCCCCGAAAAAATTTTTTCATAATGCTAAATTGAATTTTCAAAAAGTTTTAAAAATTTTATTAACTACTTACAAGTATAAATAAGTCTCTTGCACATTTTTGTGACTTATTTAAGTAACTTTCAAAACGTTTCGCGATCCGTACTCGGCCCCCCCCCCCCGGTACACCTGACATGTATATATGCAGTATGAATATTGCAGCGAAGATGTATCATGTGTATAAATATGAGCACTAAAAGGGTGGCAGAGGTATCGCGTAGTTGATGGAGATCTCCTGGCTCGTTAGAAGAAAAACGGCTCCCTTTTCTCCACACAATGAAGCAAGTAGGCATGCACTCAGCAGAAACAAAAGCGAGAATAAAAGGTCAACAAGCCCCAAAAAAGACGAGTTGTTTAATGGTCATAGTGAAGGACAGGTAATTTTTTTCTCACCATACATGACCGCAGCTCTTCATCCCAACTGCTGCAACTTCTACCTCTGCTGATTGTCTTTTGGAAGCAAACAAAATGTAGTGTTGTTGTTTGTATTGGATCTTTCCAAGATTATCTCAAGGAACTTTAAAGCAACAATTTATTTCATTGCATTATAAACTGTTCTTATCACAAAACATACCCAGAACAATATCAATATTATAAATCCCGTACGATATAACTTGGCAAAAATTTTTGAAAACTCATGCTTTATGACTGCGATGTAGCAGCAAAAGAACCATGGACTCAACGAAGCTGTTAAAAGCAGACTGTCTCGGTTCCGTGCTGGGTTTTTACTTGCACTGCTGCCTTCACGGATTACAACTACAACCATAAAAAGCAATAAAGCAAACACCGAACTACCCGTCAAAGCTAGATGTTTATCTGCAGAAGAGTAGCCATACAGTCTGTCCCAATCCGAATCAGCCAAACTATCCGTTAAGTGTACGAGTTGCGATAACGCAGCAAGAACATCTGCGATTAATTGTTGCTTACTTTTGCAACCCTAGTATGCGGTAAACGAAGAAGAGTTGCGTAGAGTATCCAGTACACACCCTGCCTTAACAATCGCGCATGCGGCAATTTTCTCCCTCCTCCTTAAACTTGGGCAGAATGGATAGAGGACTAAATGTCGCGAACAAGCTTTCAGCTCCGAGACAGCTGGTACGAGGCGCAGCTGCTATCCGTGGAGTTGCGTGTTTGTTGCAGATGTCTGCGCGACCTGCGTTTTCTGCGACATAAAGTCCTCCATCCGGCCAAAAGACGTCACAAACTCTGCTTCGAGCGACGGCGGTCCCGTATAGAATGCCATCACCGCGCTGCGGCCGTGCGAGTCGCCCTACCCAGTGAAATGTCATTGAGTGAGATCGCATATAGTCAAGCCATGCCGCTACGAGCGCGTACTTTTGCGCTATTCCAGGGTTTCGTTTTGGCCCGATTGGGACAGATCGTAACGAGGAAACCAAAGCTTGTGCAGTGCCATAAACATGCAACGTAATAGGACCTTGGTTCCCGATGATTTAAGCGCTACGACTAACATTAAGATGTATGCTGGAGTCAAGCTAAAAAACCTCCCGAAAAGATTAGCAGCAAGCTTTCTTGAAGAGACGTTTCCACAAATATAGAAGCTAGAAGCCAGGACAAGGAAAACATTTCCACATCAAATGCAGTGGCGCTTATAGTTCAAAAGTCATTGAACACTATCGATGTTCATCAAAACCCGCGGTCCGCATCTTGCTCTAGAGTAACTAAGTCTTGTACATAAGGGCACCGTTCGATGCAGCTTGGCGAGCCGTATCTTCTGCTTTATAGAAGTTTTTTGAATGCGATAGCTTTTCAGTTTTTCTTAATTGCAGTCTGATTAGTCAGTGACAGTGAGTGACTTAGAAGAGCGTCTCGCCGAGCTGAGTCGAAGTGCTCTTGGATTCAAAAACATTTACTCCGAATCAAGATCTCATGATGCGAGGCGGATTTCGTTGAACCCCGGTGGATTTTGGTGGCTTTTTTGACAAGTTATGAGCGGTATTATACTTATGCGCCGTGAAAATTACTCAATCAGTTTTCATAGTTCTATACAAAACTCCAACATTAGAAGTGATTTTCAAGTGCTTCTATCTCTATGTCATCAGTGGCTCTACCCCATTCGCTGATGAAAAGATTGGAAACATTGTTGGAAGTGCATAATCGACACCAGAAAAGACAGAATGACCATGCGATTATCACAAACATATTATTGACCTGAAAGAATATTCGGTTGAGGCAATTTCTTTACAGCAATTTTCACTGACCATGACGTAACCGCGAAGAAAATCTGCTGCGCTGCCTGTGACCGTTAAAACGAAGGATGCAGATACGATGAGAACTAGACCGGTAATATCCAATCCCATTTCCTGAGAAGAATTAATTTATAATATTAACTTGTTGGTATGTATTTTTAACTTTCATAACTAAAGTATTTCTTCCTTTTTATTTCAGCACTGTGTAGTCTTCAAATTTTCGCCACAATCAACAAATTAGAGCTGTATGTATAGGCAGTAATAGATGTAATGAAACACCGCTAAGTGGGGAGGCCTTCATGCGAAGACTTTTTTCAAAAAGAAAAGCAAAGAGCTCTTTTGTAAGGTATTCCAATGTATGCAGTGTATAGTGAAGGTCATGTGGTAGGAGGATGCATCTAGCTTGAACACTTATTGACACCGAATGGCCTCTGTCGTGAATCCTAACTGAAAACAACCATTTGTATTGCCGGAATATCGAAGCTCACCACATTTCGCCAATAGAATTTCTGCACCATGAACCAGAGAGAAATCAGAGCTGCGGCACAACTCAAAAGGTGGAATATTGGAACGACGAAAAGTGCTAGACCAATGTCGGCTGGATGAGATCGCCATTGCCAAGCACATACAGTGAATACGCTCAATATCTGGAAAGTTCTCACTTAATCATTAAGGTGGATTTATGGTCAACCAACCAAGATATGTGTCTTTGCCACAGTCAGCACAGAAAATGGATAACTGAGAAGATATTTCAACGGATCGCTACCGGAAGACATTCCATCCTAGAAAAAAATATTTTCTGCTATTTTTAACTCTTGTACATGTGGTTAAAATGACGAGCAATGCGACGAGAAGGGAGATCAGTGACAGTAAAGATGCCAAATTGGCCATAGCTTTTAACACTGCAGAAACTGAGCATTTGATGTTATATCCTACAATCAAAAATGACATATCATAGCTTTATTAAATCCATAGACATGGACCTTCAGGTTTTCTACTTCTATATTAAGACGGTAGTGTTCGGAGAAAAATTGTTTATCAAGGAAAAACAAGTCAATTTTACAACATGAGACAAATTTGCAAAAAAGTTAGTTTTCATACTAATGGAACAATGAATGTGGAAGTTTTAGATAAGTCAGATCATTTACTTTCTTTCGGTTTAAGGATAAACACCATCGCTGACAGATTTTCCAACGATTTGAAGGAAGTCCGACGTGTCTGTACTCTGTTGTAGGAAATCTGTAACTGGGATCAAATCATTTACGTCTACTATTATAGTCTATTAATTAATAGTCTACTCTTTCTTCTGCTGAAATGTTGAACTGGTAAAATGTAATATAGTGGTCCCAGAATGTTCTCACTTTTCCAACAGAGCATCGATCTGATACAGCAGTAATCAATGAGTAAAAGGTAAGTTTGCAAAGTACAATCTCTGCATTACAAACGCCGCTTTTCAGTCCTTTACCTATCCACTTCAGCTAAGCTTATTACCTTTCAAATCTTGACAATTCAATATTTATTAAGTTGTCCCATAAGTCTTTTCATATTTGAATTTTCACCAGCATAAGTCAGTTCTTCTTACAAAGGAGGATTAGCTGGTGACCGTGGACTTTTAAACTTGATACCTGTATATATAGAATGCTCGTCTTGGAACGCTGATCTCGAAACTGTTTTCCTTATCTACGGAACGTTTTTCTAAAAAAGAGATAGTGGTTGTGAAGGCAAACTCAAAAAACACTGACAAAACACTACACTGGCAGGAAACAAACCGGCGTCCATTATGCAATAACCAACAGCGCTAACCGCAAGACATTCAACACCTCCAGCACCTGGCGACATGATTCGAGGGCATGCGATTAAATACGGTTTTTCAAGCAATCGTTCTGCAGATAACGAATACGGTTTTGAGATCAGCGTTTCAAGGCGAATGTCATTACATATGTCACATATCGAAAGGTTAGTCACCAAGTATCCTTTCCCCATTAGATTCCTGACGGGATGCGGGTCCATTTGACAGATTAAAGCAAGACAGAATGGCTTCAAATGTATGCACCAGTGTTGATCCGCAGTAAGTTCCATGCCAAAATAAAAAACAATTCCGAATTTCTCAAAACGAAGATAATCGTATCTCAGTTTGAAACAATTCTGCAGATTTCCTACTCGCTTAGGCATATAGTCCCCACACCAGGTATGTACACCATTTGATTCAACTGGCTTGCCTTCGGGAAGGCGGGGCTTCGTGAGCTAATTGAAGCTATGATCAGATGATGGCAATGATCAGAGAGCACTCGCGCGAGAGAGATGCAGGTGCGTCGCGGGCGCGAGCGGCCGTAATTAGGTCATAAAAACCCCGCCTTCTTGAAGCCAAGCCAGTTGAGTCAAAGGTTACATACACTTGCTGCATTATTCTGAAATCTAGAAATAAAGAGAAAATAGCGCGATAAATCTTCAAACTTTGCTTGTAAAGGGTCTGTGCTCATCGTAAATAAGTGATTATATAGCTTACTGTTTGCTCTTGCATTACGCACTAACTTAATACTTTTAGTAAACACTACACTGCATAAATTTTTGACAATCAACTCTCTAATTCCTTCGAAGACTTGATTTTTTCTCTTAATGCAATGGCATTTGATGATTATCAACAAACGTCGCGCTTCATTCGCTTAGATGAATTAGGTAAGCCTAATCATGGAATCCGATAAACCATGGGTCACTTCAGCAAACACCCGGAAAATTTCGCAGGTACTATTAGGTTGTCCGGAAATTAATGCCCGTTTTAAATTCCAACCGCGCTAAGTCATATACTTCTCATCTCTAAATGGGTTGCAAAGTACCATTCGATAGAGCAAAGCAAGCTCTACAAGATGGCTATCTTGTTTTTGCAACAGCTTTGATCCATCTCGAGTTTCGAGCCAAAAACTAAAAAGACTCAGCAGCCCGAAAAATCGAAAAAAATCGTAACTCAATTCATAAAAATCCTACAAAAATTCTAATTTGCTTGCGTAAACACTATCCACATAAGACATCAATATATGCCGTTGCCGTATTTTTTTCTCTGTTAGAAACCAAGGAAACGGAAATTTTCGTGCATTTGCCAAAGTGATGCTGTGCCGTCCCCGCATAGGTAGTTGTATACCACAAGTCTGTAGAAGTACAGACTCAAATTTCCAGCTCTCTACAAGCTTTAGTTCTCAAGAAATACCGAATATAGCTTTCCTTACTTAAGTGGTCCAAGCTAAAATTCAAATTTCTCGAGAACTAAAGCTTGTAGAGAGCTGAATATTTAAGTCTGTACTTTTTCAGGCTTGTGGTATACAACTACCTATGTGGGGACGGCACAGCATCACTTTGGCAAATGCACGAAAATTTCCGTTTTCTTGGTTTCTAACAGAGAAAAAAATACGGCAACGGCGTATATTGATGTCTTATGTGGATAGAGTTTACGCGAGCAAATTAGAATTTTTGTAGAATTTTTATGAACTGAGTTACGATTTTTTTCAATTTTTCGGGCTGCTGAGTCTTTTTAGTTTTTGGCTCGAAACTCGAGATGGATCAAAGCTGTTGCAAAAACAAGATGGCCATCTTGTAGAGCTTGCTTTGCTCTATCGAACAGTACCTTGCAACCTATTCAAAAATGAGAAATGTATGACTTATGGCGGTTGGAAATCAAAACGGGCATTAATTTCCGGACAACCTAATAATTTTTTAAGATCGCGAATCTCTAATTGAAGACCATAATGTGAAGTTTTTGGTAGCTTTGGCAGCAGTGCAACCCTGTGAGAATACGTGCTTGATGAGAAGAACGGAAAACCTTTTGGAATGGCCTAATATATCACAGGAAGAATGGATGCCTCAATGAAATAATGATTTCTGTCATGCGCAGCGAGAACTCACATCATTTAGAAGTAAGGCCCCTAAACGAAGGTCTCGCCACATTGAACCTTCATCACTGAAAATGGAACTTGTTACTGACAGCATGTTGTATTTTGTGAATTATACGAACGAGGTATGCTTTGGGGAGAAATGGATGGGACTTTATCGCGCTTCCAATTTTACAAATCTAAATTTGAGTATGATGCACAATGATAGGAGGCAATGCACCAATGTCAACGAGTTCATACATATACAATGACCTAACAACAGGAGTCAGTTTTCCTACTACTTCGCCATTCTATGTTCGCTCAGAGAAACGGAAAGCCTCAGGTTAAACATCGAACTCCCAACAAAGCCGGAAGCACTAATGTAGCTTAAGAGGTCTTCATAGCTCACAATTTGTGAAAGCTTTCCGTTTTTTCGATCTATCAACGAAAACACATGGGATATAGAGAGCAAACAAGAGCTATTCGACGCGGTTTTTCTTCCTCTTTCCAGCAGTCATGTCTTGAGACCATTTGCTATTGTGGTGGCTAAGATAATTGCAGTTTTTAACATATGGCTTTTACTCATGGCCCTACTTTGGCAATTCTAAAGATTCTCAGCTTTGAACTTCTAAAGCTTTGCTTAGCAGCTGAGTAGAGCAAACAAAGTGCAAAGGTACGAATTTTTTTGACATCTCCAGCAGGCTTTCCAAAAATACCAATTTTTTTTCTGATGTCAACAAATTCCATGTTTGCTTCATTCAAACCACATAGAACATCAACCAACAAGCAACTCGGGCATTGTTCAATCCAGCCCTTCTTCCTTTTTGATAGATGTTCTACTTTACCGATTTGTACAGCACTGAGAAGTGTGAATTTTATATTGTTCCCGAAATTTCAAAATTCGATATCTCAAAGCGAAGAAAGGTCATTTCCTTTGTGAAATTAATGTTGAAGGACTATCGACTTTTAGAACATTTACAGTCCAATGAATTCTCAATGTTTCATGCGTTTATGTATCATACGACTTTGCAGAAGTGATGACTTCTGGAAAGATGATCTTGAAAAGTACTGAAAAAACGCTGGTCGGGGATGCCAAAAAATCTGTTGCATTGCACTTTGTTTACTCTATACATCTGTTATCACAGCTCTTCCGGAACTTGGACAGAAATTTTGAAAAGCTGTAAACTTGAATGTGGCAAAACCATAGACTCGAAATTCTGGCGATTCTGGTGATCACGAAAACAAATGCTGTGAAAAGAGGACTATTGCAAAGAGGGTGAAAAAATTGCGTCCGATAGTTCCTGAAATTTTTGCCAACTTTTATTCCAGTGTTTTTATGACAGGTTGAAAAACGGAGAGAAATTTAGAACGACAATATTTCGCTGAAGCGGCTACCCTTATTATTAGAATCACTATTTGTATGTAATCAATCATAATATCAGCTTTCAGAAAGTCCGTATCCAAATTTCTGTTATCAATGCTTCCTCGGCTACAGAAGAACTAACAATAAATTTATGATGCACTTTCTACAGAACGGTCATTTATAAATTCTTCAACTTGTAGTATTTGCTCTGTTAATTTTGACATTGCACAAAGAGGATAAAACACGAGTTTTACTATTAAGTTCTCTCAAAAGTAAATCCTTCTCAAAATAATTCAAGCAGTTTTCGATTTCCTGTAGAAGTTAAGAAATTTATTTAAATTTTAGGAAATTATACGATAGAGCAGATCAAGCTCTACAAAATGACCGTCAAGGGTCTGCCTAAGTCCCATTATATGTAAACTTTGAAGCCAAAATTGAAAAAATTTTGTGACCTGAGAATTGGATTTTTGAGAGGAAGACCCTAAGGACCTTCAGCTTGTTCATTATACAGTAGGCACATAGTAGTACTCAAATCTTTTACTGAATCTTTTTCGCGCGTAG